GGTCCTGCAAGGTGCATGGCCCAACAAAAATGGTTCAAAATTCGAAAGTCGAATGTCAAAGCACCAGAGGTTATCAGGATCAGGTTTCACTGTGATACCCTCAGATTGAAATCAAGTATCAGTCTATGCGCTCTCAGGTTCTTCAAGTAATCCGTCAGAAGAAGTAGATCCCGCAGAGCTCTGAGTCGAAGACGCTGGCCACTCTGAAGAAGAAGAGGAAGACGAAGACCAATCACATCTGCAGTCACCTGCCACCACATAGAGAGAATGCTGCGATTCATGGTCCAAGAAGCCTTTCAAGTAGGCCCAGTAGCACACGCAGCAGGCCTTGTCCCCTGCCACACTCTGCAAAAAGTCCACACAGGCTTGAAATTTAGAGCCCATAGCGTGTAGCTGAGTGTCCAGACTTGATCCCCTAAACACTTGCGGACAGCTCGCATTATTTTGACATTGCTTCTGTTAGAAGAAGGAATTTCTTCGCTTGAATTTCCACAATTAGGTTTTACAATGTTTCAGATCCCGATGCATGGGCTTCAACAGTTTCAGCAACAACCTTTGTCCTTTGTCGATTCAGCTTCACTTCCCAGTAAGTTCACAAGCCCAAGAGGAAACAATCCAAATCTGCACAAGGAAACCTTGCAATCTTGGAAGACAAAGGTAAGGAAAACAATTGACATCGAGATTCAACGACGCTGCCAATCATTGTCGAAACTTGTGTTCTCTTCAAAAGCTGCATTCATTGATTCATTGCCAATATTTGGGAGCATTGTGATTGTGAAATTCACACAGGTTCTTACACCTCAGACAATGTTACAGCGTCCAGCTTCGCACACAAGTCGTTTTTCCCGACACGGTTCCAAGTTCTGCCATGTCCTTGACACCGCCACGAGCGACATGGTCTTCCGAACGTTTTTTCACCTGTTGAGTGTGATCTCCTCACCGCTGCTCATGCTCAGCGTTGAATCCACCATTCAATTCACAGAATGACGCTACAGACCCAAGGACGTCTGAAATTAAAAATCTACTGGTAGTTAAACCCGCAAATTATACCCCAAGTACTTGAATGCTTTCTGGGGTACTCAGGATCAGACACTCGGGAAGTTTTAAATTTAAGGCTCCACCAAGTCCAAAGGGCCCAAAGGTCAGTGAGTGCTGTAGTATCAAGTGTTTCGCTGAAGTTTTTGACTGATTATTTTTCACATGCAAATTTATTTCATCCAACTTCTTGCAGATCAGGCAAAACCCTGAAGAATGAAAAGAACAACATCTCTTGTTTCAGACAAGATCCCGGGGATCTTAAAATATGTTTCCTATTGCTCATTACCGTTGCAGAAAAATGACACAGCAAAACACCTTCAGCTGTTTCACCAGGCATTTGTTCAAAGTTTGAGGCCAGGTGTCTCTCCTCCAAACATCGTTAAAATGTCTCTCCTGACATCCTGACTGAAAAAAATGCCAAATTGCCTCACAGACTCAGACATCTTGCCTGGAAAACAAGGCCAACATATCTCCCAGAGATCTTAACATTTCTCCCCGACATCTTGACATGTTTCCCAGACATTTTATCATGTCTCCCAGAAAACACGGAATGTCTCACAGGCATCTTGTCATGTCTCTCAAAAATCTTCCCTTGAAAAAAATGGACGTCTCCCAGACATCTTGCCTGCAAAAATGCCGAGATGTCTGCCAGACATCTTAACATGTATCCCAGACATCTTAACATGTCTCCCAGGCATCTCAACATGTCTCTCAGACATCTTACTGGGGAAATGTGCCAAGATGTCTCCCGGACATCTTACCATGTCTCCCAGACATCTGAACATGTCTCCCAGACATCTTGCCTGGAAAACACAGGCAAGATGCCTCCCAGACATGTCAGCATGTCTCTGAGACATCTTGCCTGCAAAAATGCCAAGATGTCCCCCAGACATCTTAACATGTCTCCCAGACATCTCAACATGTCTCCCAGACATCTTAACATGTCTCCCAGACATCTTGCCTGAAAAACAGTTGCCAAGATGTCTCCCAGACATCTTAACATGTCTCTCGGACATCTTGACATGTCTCTCAGACATCTTGCCTAGAAAAAAGACGTAGATGTCTCCCAGAGATTTCAGCATGTCTCCCAGACACCTTCACACGTCTCTCAGACATCTTTCCTGAAAAAAAAGCCAAGATGTCTCCCAGACATCTTCACAAGTCTTTCAGGCATCTTAACATGTCTCTCAGACATCTTACCGGGAAAAATGTACCAAAATGTCTCTCAGACACCTTAACATGTCTCCCAGACATCTTAACATGTCTTTCAGACATCTTGCCTTGAAAAAAGGCCAAGATGTCTCCCAGACATCTTAACATGTCTCCCAGACATATTGACATGTCTCCCGGATATTTTGCCTGGAAAAACAGCCAAGATGTCTCCCAGACATCTTAACATGTCTCCCAGACATCTCAAGATGTCTCGCAAACATCTTGCCTGGAAAAAATGCCAAAGTGTCCCCCAGACATCTTAACATGTCTCCCAGACATCTTAACATGTCTCTCAGACATCTTGCCGGGAAAAATGTGCCAAGATGTCTCCCAGACATCTTAACATGTCTCTCAGACATCTTACCGGGAAAAATGTGCCAAGATGTCTCCCAGACATCTTAACATGTCTCCCAGACATCTCAAGATGTCTCCCAGACATCTTGCAGTTTTTTTTGGTTTTCAGAAGTGGTGGAACACCCGAAAGTGGCAAAAAATAAGTGGTGGAAGCACTTTTTTGCACTAAAAATAAGTGGTGGAACGCACCAAAAAAACACAAAAAAACAAGATGTCTCCCAGACATGTTAAGATGTCTGGGAGACATCTTGGCACATTTTTCCCGGTAAGATGTCTGAGAGACATGTTAAGATGTCTGGGAGACATCTTGGCACATTTTTCCCGGCAAGATGTCTGAGAGACATGTTAAGATGTCTGGGAGACATGTTAAGATGTCTGGGAGACATGTTAAGATGTCTGGGAGACAAACTGGCTGTTTTTCCAGGCAAGATATCCGGGAGACATGTCAAGATGTCTGGGAGACATGTTAAGATGTCTGGGAGACATCTTGGCCTTTTTTTCCCAGGCAAGATGTCTCAGAGACATGCTGACATGTCTGGGAGACATCTTGCCTGTGTTTTCCACGCAAGATGTCTGGGAGACATGTTAAGATGTCTGGGAGACACCTGTTTTTTTTCCAGCCAAGATGCCTGAGAGACGTGTTAAGATGTCTGGGAGACACCCTGTCTCTTCTCTCCAGGCAAGATGTCTGAGAGACATGTTAAGATGTCTGAAAGACATGTTAAGATGTCTGGGAGACACCTTGGCCTGTCTTTTTGAGGCAAGATGTCTGAGAGACATGTTAAGATGTCTGGGAGACATCTTGGCCTGTCTTTTTGAGGCAAGATGCCTGAGAGAGATGTGAAGATGCCTGGGAGACATGTTAAGATGTCTGGGAGACATCTTTGCCTTTTTTTCCAGGCAAGATGTCTAAGAGACATGTTGAGATGTCTGGGAGGCAACTTTGCCTTTGTTTTTGCAGGCAAGATGTCTGAGAGACATGTTAAGACGTCTGGGGGACATCTTGGCTTTTTTTGCAGGAAAGATGTCTGAGAGACGTGTTAAGGTGTCTGGGAGACATGTTAAGATCTCTGGGAGACATCTTGCCCTTTTTTCCAGGCAAGATGTCTGAGAGACATGTCAAGATGTCTGGGAGACATGTTAAGATGTCTGGGAGACATGTTAAATTCTCTGGGAGAGATCTTGATCTTGGCCTTGTTTTTTCTTGAGGCAAGATGTCTGAGATACATTTTGAGATGTCTGGGAGACATGTTAAGGTGTCTCAGAGACATCTTGGTACATGTTTCCCGGTAATATGTCTGAGAGACATGTTAAGATGTCTGGGAGAGATGTTAAGATGCCTGGGAAACATGTTAACATTCCTTAAAAGGTTGGAATATAAGTTAAGTGAGTTGTCACCTGACCTCACTCGTCAGCAAACACGCTCCTGTTTTCAACTAACTTTCTCGTATTGTCTTCCAACCTGTATCGCTTGCAGGGACAATGCGTTGGGCATGCCCACAGATCCATCAGCCCTGCTGATCCTGTTTCAGTCAGGCTAAGGTATGCTGGAGCACATCCAAATATCTATTATTTGTTCACATCCCTCCAAAGTGGGAATTCGCAGTGTCCTGCGCAAGACCCCATCTGCAGCGCAGACTTCAAGGTATAAGGTTACCCCACAGGGGACCTGATAACAGGGTGGGTCAAAATCCCTGATTTAGGGAGGGAAAGGAAGACAATGCTGGTATTTTGGATCAATGTTTACTTGAGCCAAATTTGGCATGTGTTTTACCTTATTTAATCAACCACCAAGAAATGACCACTGTCCATCCAGGCCTGCCAAACACTAGACAGTCATAGATGTCTGGGAAACATGCTAAGATGATTGAGAAACATCTGTTTTTTTTCAGTCAAGATGTCTTGAGAGACATGTTAAGATGTCTAGGAGACAATATGGGTTTTCAAAGGGTCGATCTCAGTTCGTCAAGATTTTTGACGATTCAAACCCCAAACCTTTTCACAAATTTCCCTACACAGTTAATATCAACATGTCATTCCAGCAACCCTTCCGTTTGGCGATGCCTCGGGAACCTTAAGGGTACTTTCCAAAATCAAGAAAGCTCTTTTGATAAGATGTTGCACCAGGAAGTTCATCTAAGTCTCAGTCAAGTCAGTTCCTGTCTGTCGGAAACAACAAAATCATTGTTGATTCTGATCTTGATCTTGTAAGTTGTGACTTTGTGGCCACGTAAAAAAAAATGACGCCAGTGTCAGTGTCACAGTTCATTAAGTTCATTATTCCAGTTATATCGATGTCGTGAATACCACCAAAAAACTGTGGCATATCTATTCCCTGTGCTGGATTAACTTTGGGTCATGTGCGTAAAACTCATCAAAGCAAAATATGTCCTTCTTCACTTCTTGTGCATCGATGCCAACACGAATGTCATCAATCCATTCGAGCATGCTTGCTGGAACGAGTTCCCAGCCATGCGACGCTTCTGAGCATCGCTCACACCCTTGAAGTTGACAGGCACCCCATCTTCAAAACCGGCTGCTGCTGCGACATCAGGGTACACCGGGATGCCCTGCGCCAGCAACAGCTCATTGGGATGCATCACACGCTCTCGCAAGCAACCATACCTGCAAGGCACTTTCAGTTCAAGGCACTGCAAGGCGTTTATAAGATAGGGTTTATAGTTTATAGTTGTATAGGAGGACCCAACGGTGACTCCAGTGCTGACTTGGACCACACCAGCTGAAACCTCTCTACCAACTTAAGACATCAACATGTAACAAGCTAGTGAAGCCAGTACAACACCACAGGTCATGAGTTGCAATATCATGTTTGCATCTGTCTGCTGAAACATCTGAATCCGAGACTAAAGAATCCGCAATCAGAAAACCAGGAGCTGAGCCAAGATACATATTGGACACGGATGCAAGAACGACTGGTAGAATCGTTCCACAGTGCTCTGCAAACGACGGGTCCTGGTCTAAATTGCAACCAACTTCTTGTGTCTTGCCCAAAGCTGCTTGGACCCAAGGCATTCTCTCTATCTGAAGCAAATTGACCTGAAGCAGAGTGCTGGGAAATCATGAATTTGCCACTGTCACCTCTTCTCTGGTTCTCTGGCACGCTGACAAATACCATAGACGGTAGGCTATAAATCCTTTTCCTATGTCCATGTCCAATATCACCTGGTAATCAAATTTCATTTCGGACGTGATTTGGCCTTCCTCCTTTCATATCCGTTCAACATTATTCTAGTATTGGTATTTTCTTTTTATTTACGTGTGAACTGTGGAAGTTTTTCTGTTTTTTTCAGGCCTTGCTCATACATATCGTGTAATATCTTCAGCCCATGCCTACCTGACTTTGTGGTGGCAGCAGCTCACGGAAGCTGGAGCTCTGCGGTTTCAACCGAACAGCCGCCATGGACCGCTTCATATCCCCAACCTTCAGGGAATAGCAGGGACAGTCTTGAGTCATCAATCATCAGTGGTTCACGAAAGGTCAAAATTCAATGAGAGGGGAAGGGTTACATTTCATCAACATCTTCACCAGGGGCAAGTCAGCAAGTCATTAATATGATGGCATCTGAACTGAACAAGAACAGATTTAAACAGTTTAGCAACTAGTTAGTCAAGAACGTTAGCGTTGGCAACTGAAATCTCACCTCCTCATCAGTGGCCTGAAAGAAAATGCCGCAGTTGAGACGACAAGGACTGAATAGCCTCTTGATCTGATCACTTGGAATGGTCATGACGTAGTCTGGCCTAACCAGTGCTGTGTATGCTCTTGATCTCCTGACTGGAAAGCCAAAATCTTGAGGATCCAGCAACGAATGGTGCAGCGAAAACTCCGGAAACACTTTCTGGAGGATGGCTGGTCTGAACAAGCGTGTGCATTCGTGAAGAAATGCCATGGGACTGAGAAATCGTGCAAGACCCAAACTGCATGCGAAGGGTAGTATGTACGTTCCAAGAAGTTCTTGGCGAGATTGATTCATCGAGCTCCAGTCCTTGCAAACACTACCCTGCATCATGATCAAGCGCTTGACGACCGCGCGCAAATTCTGCATCTGCATTGTCTTTCCACCTTTGACGGGGACAAACTTGCGGAAAGCACACTCATCTTCAAGACAAGCAAGTAGCTCTGTCAGCAACTTTTCACCAATGTCCTTGAGGGGGTTCATGGCACTGGGACCACCATCATCGCCCCCACCATCTTCGCATGACCTTATACAATTTAACTTTGCACTACATTAGGCTCAACCGACACTTCGTTAGTCAACCTTGAAGGATTCAACGGAAGCGCTATAATCATTCCTTCATACAAAAAATGTATGAAATTGTGTATATATATATATTATTATATATATATAATTATATATATATTATAATATATATATATTATCATAAATATATATATATATATTATATATATTGCAATTTATCGTGAGCAAAAAGAACATCCTGCAACATCTGAATTCTGGAATGAAGAAACTCACTACCATCCGATGGCACTGCATCAACATCTGACTTGCGTGGCTTTGCTCTGGACTTTTGCCCGCGCCCACGCCCACGCACTTTCTGTCCTTTGGCCTTGGCCATAGTTTTGGCGTGCGCTTTTGCCTGCGCTTTTTCCTGTCCCTTCAATGCTGCCAACTCCTTCTTTGCAGTAGCTACCAGGTTCTCCATATGTGCAAGGGTCTCTGGCTTGATGAAATCCAGGATGTCAGCAACAATGTATACCGACGGGTCCTTGTGTTGATCAAGGACCTTCTGACATGCGCCATCCACGTCGCAGGATGCAAAGAAGAAAGGTTTCTTGGGGCTCTCCATCCATAAGAAATCATCCTTGTCGTGAAGATGCTTCAGCTCCTTCGTCACCGACTTGTGAAGCATCCCCAAAGAAAGCTCAGCTCCACCCAAGCCAGCGTACAAGCTCAAAAGAACCAAGTCATCCGTATTCGCCACAAGGTTCTCAAATTTATCCCGGCCAAAGTGGCCTGAAGGTTTGCTTGTGGTGAAGCGGTGATGGCGGACCATCTTAGTCTTATAGTTGAAGGATTGATGGGAGTTGCCATGGAAACAAAAAGATCGAAGATCCAACTGATATACAGTGAACCCATTTCACAGGGACGAGGAGGGCCAACCACTACCACCTACCCTCTGACCCTCTCACACACGCACGAGTTACCAAAATAAGGCGGCGAAGCCAAAATCAAATCAGGATACTGTAGATCCGCTTCACACTCCTCTCTGCAAATGAGAACATGGAACGAAGATCTGTCACCGCCTCATGGTCAATCTCGGAAGTGACCAGGGTAGCTTCACCTTAGCCAACAAAAGCAAACGTTGAGGGCTGATGGGCAGCACTTTATGGCTTGATTAAGGAAACTTAAACTTTGCAGCAGCTTGTCTCGAGCAACTATATTGCATCTAAACTGCGTCAAAGTTTGATTGAATGAGTTCTTTCTCCAAAGAAAACTGGATGCCAAACTCAAAAGTAGCTCAACGTCCAAGACACTGTCAAAGTCACCATGGCGAACGTAAACGTCTCCGTTCTTGTCAACCCACTCTGTCACCTCATCATCCGACAAACCAACCTTCTCAAACTGCAAGCAAGACTTTTCTGGGGACTTCTGTGATTCACTGGACGTGGAACTGGATGAGGACGACGACACGGGACTTTTTTTCGATCGTGTTGGGTCTTCTTGATCTCGGTCACGATCCGCATCTGTTGGATCATCTTCACCTTCAACTGACGGCTTTGGCTCGGTCACTTCGAGGCCACTGGTCGAAAGGGAAATGCACTGCTGTCCAGGTGGAGGAGGTTGTAGAAAAGGGTTCTCATCAGCGTCAGCCTTTTTCTTTCTACCGGATCGGGCCTTTGCTTTCGCCTTTGGAGCTTTCTTTCCGGCTGATTTTGATGCACGTGGTCTTTTCGAGTTGACCTTCTTCTTTTTTGCTACAGCTTCCCCAGCCGTGCCGTCATCACCGGAACTGGGAGCATTTCCCTCTGCATGGTGCTGCTCGTCGTCTTTCTTTTGTTCCGGAAATCCATCCGAAACCTTTGCTCCATCTGCACTAGCATGACTTGCTTTCTGTCTTTTCCTACCTTTTGCCTTGCTTTTGCCAGCCGCAGCACTACGGGAAGCCTTCGTCTTCGCCATGGCAGGCTGCTCACTCCAGTGAAACGAGATGAGTGAAAAAAGTGAAAGCGATTTCAATTTGGCACATGACTTCGCAATGGGACGAGGCGAGGGTGATGACCTCATTCGATCATGTTGTCAGTATCCGTTTCATAATATGATCGACTGGTGTGATTTGTTTTTTTGATTTAGTCCCGAGTCACGAGTCCCAATCCCAGTCAGTCTGTCAGACTGGGTCCAACCTTCTCACTTGAGAAAAGCATGCTACCTAAGATGAAAGAGGTTTTGAGGTTGCTCTGAATGTAAGTCTGTCACTGGCTGGTGGAGGTCACATTTCCCACAATAGCGGTGTCTGCAACGAGCACCTGCAAGCTTCTGGGAAAGTTGATCCCCAAAGCAGGAGCGGCAACAACCCCCAGTTTCTGTTGAAAGCTGCTAAAGCTAATTGGTCAGCCATAGCAAACAAACGCTTGAATTTCTTCAGCCGTGGAAAGCACACACGCAGCACTATATCAGGCATGTGGATTAGCTGTTCCAAACAAGCTGATGCCAAAATGGCCAAATGCCAATGCCACCGCATGCCACTGAATTTGGAAACCAAATTCAAATTCAGCCGGCTGACCATCAAAAAAAGTTGGTAAAATCTCCATCGCGAGGTGGAGAAGGGGTCAAGTCTGCTTCACCTGGAATCACCAACGGCCCAAAGGATCGCTGAGGCGCTTTGCACTGGAAAGAGCCAAGGTTGCCAACGTTGTTGAGCACACCCTCTTTGGATATCTTGGTTTTGGTAATCTTTTCTGCCTTCTGCGTTTCCTTCTTCTCCTTGATCATGACTGCGCACTGGGGCTTCTGCAAAGATTTCATCTGGGCCTTTTTTGCATTGACTTTGTCCTTCTTCACTTTGGCTGCACCACTCATGGCCATTGCTTTGGCGGAGGCTGCCTTGGTCTTTGCGACCGGGGCGATGGCCGAAGATCGAGCAGTGGCGCCAGAGCGATTTGCCGGAGCCTTTTGCTTTTTCATCATTGTCATCAATTGAATCAACTCTTTCTTCTGTTCATTCACCATGTGGGTGAGTTCAGTGACCTTCTCCCTCATGTCAATCATTTCACGGTGCATCTCAAATTGCTGCTTGTGAAGGGCGAAGTTTTGCCGCTCGTTCAAGACGCACCAGCGGTTGTACTTGACAAACTCTTCCTCAAACTGCTCTGAGATTCTCCGTGCTGCTTGCGCTGCGGCGGCTTCCACCACTTGAAACGTTTTGCAAAGCGGCATTGCCACAGCTAAGTTTGACTATATCACAGGTGGCCTAGCAAATCTAACTCACCTGATATGAGAGTATCACACCAGCCACGCCAGGTCACGACATCAATGAAATCAAACGCACCATGGAGCGACAACTCACGCATGGAAAGTGCTGAATTAGTCCTCAATGAAGTGCAAGGCTCAAATAAGTCAGCAAGTACTGACTGAATTTGATTTTCTTCTTCCATTCAAACAATCCGAATGATTGAAGACGAAAAATGCCTGATCTGACTCAGAGATTGCTAAAGTAGAAGTAGAAATCATCCACTTTGTAAAGGCACTGGCAACGTTCTGTACATGTAAATTACCCTCACCCTGACTGAAAACATTTACGCTGGGTAACTAGTTGGCCTAAACAGCAAGCAGCTGGGCAACAACATTTTACTTATTCGGATCGACTGGCTCCGCGGCAACGGACTAAGCTGATCTTTCCATATTCAGGCTCAAAGGAGAAGGGCATCTCAAGCAAGGCCCAACTCTGCTTCCAACTGTGCCCATGTCTGGTCTAGCTGCGTGTGGGACGGAAGATTGGCGCCATCAGGCAACTCCTGGGCTGACAAGCGTTGAGTCAGCGAATGCTTTCAATGGTCCAACCACCAAAATTGTATCGTGATGAACACGTCCAAGTCCCACTCTTGTTTCAACAGCACGTGTTTCAAGCTTTACATTGCAACTTGCTACCCCTTTAAAATTCAAGGCCGGCAACCCAGGATCCTGATTCAAAATTCAAAACCCTTGAGGCAGAAACACAGCGAGGTCTTCCTGGGCAAAGCTATTTGGCCCAGATTCAGCTCGTTTGTGCCTGGCCACTGTCCGATTGACGCTGTCTTCGTTGTCAGGGTCATCCGGCCTCATCTTGGCACCTGCGTCATCGTGTCCGGTCTGGTCAGCATTGATCACCTTTCAAAAAGTGACCTAATTAATCTGATTGACCCATGTACTTAAAGCAAATGATCGTCAGTCTTCAGTGAGTTTGCATGGTGTTGGCAACTCATGCATGTTTTCAGGCCTCATTGTCATGTCAGGCCTCAAAAAAACATCAACCATCTCCGATCATCATCAGGGTACCCACCAGCACCCGCCTAAGCACAACCAATACTTGAGCTTGCGGATAGCAACATCTTTGCTCGGTCGGTTGGTTTGGAGGTCTTTGCGACAACATAATCTTCCATCAAATGATCTGTGCACACGGCAGTAGACATAGTATGTGGGAACCTGGCGAAGGGTCAGTACAGTCATACAGTCCAGTCGCCAGGAGCCAAGACCGGACCACATCCTTTCAACAATTGTCAAAACTAAATGGCGAAGACTAAACTCAAAATCAGGAAACATACCCGGCAAGAAACTTAGGACTTAAGGAAACGATCCCTGATCCTGGTTCAAACATAAAGTAGCCAGCATTTTCTGGGGAAGATACTCAGGGTAGCTACAGGTTCATCCATAACAACTGCAGCTTCACCAAGCTGCTGGTGTATCAGTCCTCATCACCAACGGAGTCCTTCCAAACCAAATTGTGCTTTCATTGAGCATTGATGTGGATCTCTTGGATCTAGGTCCCGTTGCCCCGCGGCTTCTTTTTGAAGGGGCCTCCTGGCCCATTTCAAGTTCATGGCCAGCCAGAACTGCTGCATTGAACTGCTCTGCTAGCTGCTCATCATTCATGGTGCCGGGGATTTCGTCGAACAACTCATTGGGATCGGTATTTTTAAGTCCTTCCTCTGCCGCTGCATCGTCCAACATGAGCATCCTGCAATGCATCAGGGCATGATAGGTTTGATACCCCAACCAAATCACCTAGCCCAGTCTACCACCGACTGGCTAAGCAAACATCATAACACTGGAGTCCGAAAACAGAACGGAAGGGAATAGGAAAGACCAACAGTCAACAACTAACACAATTCTGCAAACTGAAGTTCAACTGAGTCTCAGTGCACTGGTTTCTTTTTCAGCGGCGTCATCTTCGCAGAAAAACTTCTTGTACCAAGCGGCGCTTTGACCAGGTAGAATCAACCGAATTTGGTCATTAGGGGCCATGACGAGAGCACGGTAATAGGAAACGAGCTGCATATGGTGAATGCCCTCACATCCAGCAGAGAACAATCGTGGTGCCGATGCTAAAGCCAGAAGGTAGTCTCTGTGAGGCTGGCCAAGCATAACTTTTCTGCTTCCTGGTCCAAGGCAACGGCAACCCCTGTACAAAGAACAAGCAGCAACAATTGAAACTGGACCCGGCTGTCATCTACTACACCGACCCAAAGGAACCAGTAATTCGTCCAGTTCATTCAACTCATTCATGAAGATGCAGCTTGCAATATGATATATCTATCGATTTCAACTTGCATGTATAAAATACAACATCATGTGTCACGTGTGGCATGAAACAAAAAAACGACATTGGACATGGGCGGGCCCCTATTTACCCACATCCTCTTTGGTTTGTGTAGGGCTGCTTCTTGTTCTTCAAAATTTCCATAGGGTTTTCGATCAAGTCAAAGCCCTGGAAGATCAATTCTCGCATCAACTCCAAGGTGGTCTTGTTTTCGAGGGCAACACCATGACGTGGGAAGAACAGGGGCTTGGGATTCCCAATCTGCGGTCTCACCTATCAAGTTCAAGACAAAATCAAAAAATATAACTTTCAGTCCTCTGAGAGCGGAAACCGAAACCCGTAGCCGCAGCAACTACCCCAAACCATAAACCTGGGCAACTACAAAAAAACATGCTTTACTTCGAGTGATCCCTACCCTGATAAGTAATTTTGTCACAATTTCTGACGTATCACCTGGAAGCTGTGGTATATACTTTCTGACATTCTATTCTGGCATTCTATCTGGCATTGTGTATGACATTCTTTTCTAGCATTCTAAATGGCATCTATTCTGGCATTCTATTCTAATATTCGAGATCGATCTAGCATTCTATCTGACATTGTCTGGCATTCTATTTGGCATCTTTTCTGACATTCTATTCTTATCTGGCATTCTTTCTGGCATTCTATCTGACATTCTGGTTTGGCGTTCTATCTGGCATCTATTCTAACATTCTCTCTGGCATGTGTTGAGGTCATGCACTCCCCACTGACATCTGGAGCTTGCGGTTGAGGTCTGGCAGTGCGATCCGGAGCTCATCGTTTCAGGTCCGGCAGTGCCCGCTGAGATCTGCAGCTTGCATTTAAGTCCGGCAGATCTGGAGCTCGCCGTGGCAGTGCCCGCTGAGATCTGGAGCTTGCAGTTGAGGTCCGGCAGTGCCCACTGAGATCTGGAGCTCCCTGTTGAGAGGAGGAGGAAGGAAGGAGGACGAAGAGGAACAAAGGAAGGAAGGAATTAAAGAAAGGAAGGAAGGAAGGAGCGAAGAAACTCTGATCAAATCGCGAGACCCTCACCCACCTGGCAGGTGTGGAAACACATATGAAACTTACACCTTTCCGGCCAGCACGCCTCCAACAGTGAAGCAACTTTGCGGGTCAAGTACCAACGGGATTCGGAAGCAGTGCCGTCTGAATCTGCTGCCCGCTGCACATAGCCCTTGTTCTCAAGCTCAACCATGTTTCTCATCTCTCCTTCACTTCCATAAAATTCGAACGACCTGCCACTGCCAACGAAAGCCCTTGCAGCCACCATGTCTTCGACAATGCTAACGGCAAAGTCAGTCTCCAGGGCAAATGTCAGGGTGCGAACATCAGTTGGCACTGAACCTACGTGGTCCCAGACCAAAAGCTTTTGCATAACTGCGGAATCTCTAGTTGGATCTTCCCGAGAGGCAGCACCAAGAAAACGAATGAGCTGGATATTGTCAGTGTCTGACGGCCGGCAAAGCTGAAAACAGTTTTCAGGATGCCCGGCAACCTGAAATGCTTCATAGATTTGCACACACACATCACCATGCCGAATGTTGTCCACACCACACAATGGCCTTTTCATAGTCGAAGGAGCCTGCCAAAATCAATTGACACAAGGGACTTAAACTGAAAGATTTGACATCCTGAACCCATCAGCCTCAAACATTGAAGATTTCTTGAGCTCAGCTGCAACCAGTGAAGACAAGTCAAGACAAGAAAGGCATGTCAAATTATCTATCTACACACCAAAAGATCCAGCAGCCGTGTCAGCCAAGTAACCTTGTGGCTCACTTTGAACACGACCAGTGGTTTGCCATCTTTCTGCGCTGGGACTGCAGGGGGTGCCCGAACTCCATCCAAGTCACAATCTGCAGGGTTGTGTGATTGACCAGAAACGGAAACAATCATGACTTCGTCATCGGCTGGGTCATTGGCCTCCTCAACATCATCATGTATTTGTAGAGTTAGTAAAGACGGCCTGGATCTGAAACCGTCTGCATTGTCTTCAAGAGGAGGCGCAGCGGCACTGGATGCAGCACCCGGGGTAGGTGCAACCCCTTGTGTCAAGGCCTGGGACCTTGTAAGGGCCATATCCCGCCACAGCCCCGCACAATTCTTCAACCAATAACTCAATAAACGAAGGAAAAGGTTTGAATAGATGGATGATGAATGGATTGAAGCTTCAACATTCATATCATTCATTCATTCATTCATTCATTCATTCATTCATTCATCCCATTCAATGGTTCATGTGTCAGTAGTCTAGTAGTTTACCATCTCCACCACAAAACGGTTACATTCATCCATCCACATGTCCGAAATTCCAATGATCCCACTGGCATATGGCATCCAAACTCAATCACTTGACTCCACTCAACAAAGATTCATGGTGGCAAATCTGTCGAAGTTAAATGGGAGGAGGCAAAACAACCAAACCAAGACCAGACGAAGTCCCAGTATCAATGACATTGGGCACAACTGCTGGAAGAGATCTTGTGGCAAGGAGTAAAACTTCTTATAATCTGACATAGATCGAAAATGATCCAAAAGCAGCCTCGTGTCGCAGTTTGAAATCATCAACCGAGAATCCCTGCAAGGAAGTAATAAAAACATATATTTGATTATTGAGTGCAATCCCGTCAACCCCCAGAAAACGTTATTCTTCATACCAAAAAAGGCATGTCACTTCAGGATGCAAGGAACCGTTCCAAAGACGTGGCACGATTTCTGTCCTGAGCTGCAAGTTGATTCTTGTTGTCACGGAGCAATCTCATCTCGCTGTGTGGGATGGCTTGGTCTGCGGCTGCCCCACGAGCAAATTGGATGGTTCTTTGGTAGATCAAGTGCAGTAATGTTGAGTGTTTGATGTCTTTCGGGTCCATTCCAAGGACCTCAGACCAACTGCAATGCTTGCTGGCTTGCCAGTCAGTGCTGGCGGGCAGTTTGGAAAGACCACCACTACAATCATTCAAAGCAAAGTAAAAGTCAAAGGTCAAGGTCAAGCCCAGTCAGCGATCAATCCAGACCAAGCTGGCCTGCAAGTAAACAGCTCCAGTCCAAGTTCAAGTCCAATTAAGTTGAGTCAAGTTAGTTTCAAATTATAGTCTAGGTTGGTCATCGTTAGTCGTTCAAGACAAGCGCCACTGACTGCAAAGGGGGTTGATGCACTGAAGACACTGACAAGACAAGAGACACACTTCTCTCCACCCACCAACTTTGCGACTGCCCTGCAAAGACCTTCATGGGTGTCAATCTCGGCATGGCTCTGCGCTGCGTCTGCAAGGTCCTCTCAAAATGGAAGAGCTATTCTGAAAACACGACTCATCAGTACAAGCATATTTGATTTCACCTGACTTGACAGACCTGACCTGAAGAGGAAACGCAAGCCAATGTTCAGCTAAAGGCTAAAGTATCACTCTTTCTGGGAGATCAGTTTAAGTCTGAGGCTGAGATGTTTGTCCAAAAGCGGCATCACATCATGTTCTCGCCTAATTCTGATTCGGATACAGATACTATTCACTTTTCAGAGTCATCAAGAAATCAAAATCCTGTCCGAGATTCACTTGGTGTTGCCGCAATTGTGCGGAGGATCATGTTCGCCCGGCCCTCAACGGAGATGTATGCTTCTGATGCTCTGGGAGTCGATGTAACAATTTGCTTCACACCTCTATGGAGGCCCTTGGTGGTGTTTGTGATTGTGCAGTCAAGAAGATTGGCTATCCCTGTCAACAGTCAACTGCGACTGCGTCTGTCACTGTTAGTCAAAATCAAATTGTATAAATTGTCCGGCAAGCAAGGCGACAGTCGACAAATAAACCTTAGAAGTCAGAGTCAAGTAGCTGAAGTCGAGTAAAGAAAATCCGATGGCCGATGGCAACAAAATATAGTATAGGTACACCAAAGTAGAGTTTAAAGCACGCTGTAATGTAAACTTCTTCTGACAAAACATGGCAAGATTCTTCCGTCTCCCGCTCCACCACACGAATCAATCTCAAAGCTCCAATCCAGGCACGCAATGGGCCCAAACTTTCATCAGTGGAGAGATCAGCGCCCTGAACAAATTGTTCAAGAAGAGGTCTTAAAGCATCAGGTCCTGCGAAGTCCTTCTTCAAGAATCTGGCAGTCAATGGGTGTCGGCGCCCATAGGTAGCCATGGCGTCGATGTTGCTCTTGTCGTCAAACAGGGCTATGGCCTTTCTTGCAATGCCTTTCGCACATTCAACATCACGAATGGCAAGCCCACAAAGAAGAAATGGGAGTTTCTGCCAGTGTGCGCATTTCATCTTGCATTCAGTGATGATGCAGTCCAGCCCTATGTTCCATTCATTGTTGAGCTTTCTCCATTCAGACGAAGTCTCCCCCAGGCCTGCCCCTAGGGCAATGAAAAGGGATTGTGCCACTGCCATTGTTTGGCTGACGAAATCATCAAAGTGCCCCGCAGCACATTCCGGGGCTCTGCGCCCACGAAGACAGCAAGGCCGAGAGAAATTGTGGCATTCACAGCCTTGCAACGAACATCATTCAACAATTTCAGCATACCACTGGCACTGCCCTTCACATCTGGACAACTTTGCATTTGTTAATTTGTCTTGTCTTGTCAGGCATGTCAGCAGAATTCTCAAACGTGTTGACGTGAACTACATAGAACTTGGGACCTTTACCTATACCTACTTCATACCCGCTCGAGTTGAGTTGAGCTTGAATAAACTCAAAAGTTCGAAACTACATGATCCGCTCAGCAACCTTCTGCCCATGATCCAAGATCATTCACAAGTCCGTGCAGCAAAATGACCATGCGCAGGTATGCCCAGAAGAAAGGAGATCGTACTGCGCGATCTGCTACATTGAAAAGTTTTGTGCTTGAACTGTTGTCATCCCTGGCTCCGTCTTTTTGTTGTCCACGCGTCGTCCCCGAATTGTTTCGGCCAATATTCAAGAACGCCTGCAAATTCCAACAGCTTCGCAAAGCACCTTCTCTGCGGTGAAGTGCTTCAGCAACGTCAACCAGTGAACTCCACCTCCACATAATCAAGCTGCCACCCTCATAGTACCGGTACAGTTTGTCCATCGGTGGTCTCATCAGTTTCTGCAATCTGTCACGATAAAAAGTTTGATAATGAAGGGTGTTTATTGCTGAAAGCGCTTCCTGAAAATGGGAAAACTCTTCCCACCGCTTCAGAATATCACCTGAAATGTTGCTAAAAATGTGCTTCAAGCCATTGACATTGAGAGCCCCCCCAAGACTCCACGAGTCAGGGACAGTGCCAACATCACGTTCTTTAGGCCCTGCAGCCACCACAATGGGAGCAGTGGGTTCGGAAACAGCATCATCTGCATCGAGATCAATGATGCGCTGGTCTGCAGAAACAACAGCAGCATCAGGCTCCATGTAGCACAGTGCAGCTTGGGATTCCATCTGAGTAGCATCACCCCCATCAGCAATATCAGGTCTCGCTGCCAAAACGCCATTGGAATTCTCAATGGCATTCATAAAAAGTTGCTGAATGTTGATGGCAGGTATCTGACAAGGACTTGGAAATTTAACACCTACGTTGCATGTTGGAGTAGGAAACTGAATTTGAAAATGACAATGGAAATTCAAATCGACCGTTTCGGATTCAAGATGGCACACATGTCAAGAATCATTGTGATTTTCGAAAGATAGTCTTAAAGATAGTTTCATTCCTACCCTGGCCTCAGTAAATTGAGATTCTGTGCCAAAGTCGGCAACATATCCAACAACGCTGCCGCAGTATGCAGCGAGTTCTGCAGGTTTGCTTCCGCAGTCAAGTTTAACCTGTCCCAGGGCTGCCAAGTCGACAAGTCTATCTAGTTTGAAGTTTAAAGTTGACGTTGAAGTGTCGAACACACACATATGTTCAACAACAACATGTTGGACAATATTTGTTGGTCTTTGGCAGTCAGGGAGTGTATCAGTACAGCTACTACCACAGTTACTACTACAGCAACAAACTAACAAACAATTTTGTTGATACCAAATGCCGTTCATTCAAAACACCAAAACCTGGTGGAAAATGCATTCGTGCTTCGCTCCAAGCCCAGAGTTGCCGCTACCTATAATACCAAGAGGCAGTTGAGTTGTCATGATCTTTGACTTTGATGACCACTCCTCCAATTTTGCAACGTCGCCTTGACATGCAATCAGTTCTTCAGCGTCTGTGCGGGATATCCTGTCTTCCAAAGTCATCATCAAATCGAGCTTTCCTTGAGGGCTGGAATCGCTGCTCAGCACGTAGAACATACCAGCGTGGCCGTGCTGATGCAGAAGTCCCTGGCGATATCTCATTGCAAGGATATCCTTGCTTGTGGCCCAGCAGAAGTGCAAAGAAAAGAAACGAGAACACAACATGCAACATTGTGATTTGACATGTGGCATCGCCATGATATCGGAAATCAGCCCCACGGAAAAATGAACCCCTCTTCATCTCATCCAGCAACCCCTACAAATTCTCGTTCAAAGAGCAAATAAGAATCTAATTTCAATCGTGCACGGGACAACGTAGCCTCGCTTGGAACTCGAATAAACTTGTCCTCCAGGTCTTTTTGGATCTGAGAGGCGATCTCTGGCCCCAAGAGGAAATGCACTGATCGTTTCATGCATTCTTCCAAGTTCCCAGCATTGGAAAGCAACCTTCCAGTCAGCAGAGCTTCAAGCAGCCCAGCCAATGTGAACTGCCATCCTCCTCCTTTCTTATGCTTGAGATGTCTGTTGTCAGATCGTTCCGATCTCTCCTGGTCTTCGTTTGTCACGGCTAGTCGTGACAGGTGTCACAACCACCCAGTCGGCCCAGTCAATGAAAACTCCCAAAACCGAACAATGAAAGCAGGACACAGCCAGCTTTTGAATGTCCATTGGGTGTTTGGGGTCTTAGCCGTAGTTCAGCTCAATAGCAACATATGATATCGCAAACCGGTAAATAAATATACATTGAACAAGTGGTCATTTAACATTCCTTGGCTTGACGCTTTGACGTTGGCTTGGTTTTGAAAAATCACACAACATTGAAGGAAACCGATTGACAAGTCTCAAACAGCTGGCTGACCTGCTGCAAGTAGCTACGCGCCGCAGCCCTTGATGTTTCGTCTTCTATGGATTCTGCAGCATCAAGCAATGAACGAATTGATGTTGCATGTCCAGCTTCGTTTTCCATCCATCATTCATTCGGAAAATTTCAAACGATCAAATTGTCAAAACTCTTGGGCCCGCTATAAATTGCTGCAGCTGCGGGCTGCTTTTACATGTTCTTGCAAAGGGTACACATGGAGACACGAAATTCATGAGTACAGGAGAACGAGGAAATGAATTTTTGAAATTTAAGAAAACTGTTCCACCACTTGTTGGATTTCCAAACCCGAACACACCCCACTCACGCAATTCAATATGGCCGCAGGTGGCCGGTGGCTCATATCCAGGATTTTTTGACGGATTTTTCCATGAAGATATATGATTTTTGCTCATGAAAAGCAGCAAAACATATCAGAACCTCATAGTTATATATGTATATATATACATATATCATATATCTGTTAATAAATGAATAACCTCCATTTATAAACCTCCATTTCGTTGGGTGTTTTTCAACCCATCCTTTTGCGTTGCAGTTGCATTGCGCCCAGGTGGTCCTCCTGTCCGAAGACGGTGAGGAACACATGAAGCGCAGCTTGCGGGTGGCTCGGCGAACGAAAAGGGGCCCCGAAAAGGGGCCGCCCCTTGGGGCCCTGGAGTCTCGAGGAAACATCTGTGGTTCAGCAGACATAACAAACAGAAACAAAACATATATGATAGTGCGGTAAACCCAATTTTTTTCGGCATCCCCAAATCATGCCAATTTTTATGAGTATATATGAACTATCCCCAACTGGTAGGGCCTTTTATGGCATGGGGTTGCCCACATAAACCAACACGAAACAAAAGATGGATTCTGAGTTGACCAGAACATTTTTGACAATTATGGCTATCTCAGATGGGGGGTTTCTTGAAAGGGGGAATTCCATGGAACTCCCAAGTGACCATGGGTTTCAATATGTTTCAATACTAAGTCATGGTCACTTGGAGGATTTTTCTCGGGTACCCCCATGACTTAGGTCCATGTGCTGGAATTCTTGGATGTATTGGGATGTTAAGAACTCATATTGGGTGTTTCTTCAAAGTGGGTGGATCACCAATCACAGGGTTTTGATACGAAGCGCGTCGAATTTTGCATGATTTGGGGTACCACTTTCGAAACACAGACTTTGGGGATGATGGCAGGGTCTTTGAGAGGTGGTCAACAGCCCATAGACATCTTGGGGAGATCGATCTCCGGGTGGGTTGGATCAGTTGGTCAGCGCCCCTGGGCCCTTTGAATGTTCCAACTGATTTCAACACCCAACAGGCCCACGTTGGTCTCGGGAAGTCCTTTTCACTGGCCAAAGCTGTTGCGGCAATTGACTCGGAAGGCTTAGAAGACCAGTTGGAGCACTCAAAACCTAGGGGATGCTGTGGGGTGAAAAAAATCCACTAGTAGGGGTACCCATGTTTGACTTATAAATTTATAACTTATACCGATATAACCCCCACTAAAGTCCGATAGGCAAAAAAGCGCACACGTCACCACACCGGCAGAATGTTTCAAAGCACATTTCAACGTCTCCAGCCTGGAATGCCATCGGTCTTCCGAGGTGGGCGTGGTAAGCCTTTCCATGCTGCAGGGCAGCTCAGAGAGTTTTTGTTGCGTTGAAGATGAGATAGATGAGGGTTTTGGTTGCTTCCAGCTTCCCTTGATTCATGCAAATGGTGGGAAAAGGAGTGTTGAAAGAAGTGAGCATAGACATTTGGGCGCCTGCTTTTTGAACATACCTTGATCCTCCCATTGTTGGTGATATACGCATGGGCGTCCCAACATGAAGCGGTTAGCCCTATACATGCCTGGCTTCTAAAGAGGCACATGACCTACCAAGTAGCATGAAGCACATAAAGCATAAATGAATGAGATAGGGTCTGGTAATAGTTGGGTTTGTTTGAGCATGGGGCAACCTCTATCCAATGGATGATGATTTTACCATATTTACCATGGATATGGCATGATATGGCCATATTCATCCAGGGGGGAACCGGAGAAATTCAACGTCCTGCAGGTCGGCAGAGGCCCCAGAGGCCCCAGAGGCCCCAGAGGCCCCAGATGAGGCGAGGCAAAGCCGGTCTGCTGGCTGCCAGAGGTCCTCTTGATATTGAATTCAGAACGTGCCACACCTATCCACACATGTATATCTGGTTGGTGGTTTGGAACATGTTTTATTTTCCTCAATAGTTGGGATGATGATCCAATCTGACTAATATGTTTCAGGGGGGGTGAAACCACCAACCAGATATTGTTCTCGGATCATGAGAGCCCAAGGGCTTAGCGCCCCATCAAGATCCAAAGCTGTTGCAGGACGCTTCACCACATGCAGGCTGCGGGATTGTTGGGAACCCCCCCATTTTTTTTGGGCATGTGATGTTTGGGAAAATGACCATCAACATCCATCAACCATCAAAGTGCGGAGTACCCGACTTCCAGACACAGCTATAAAATATACTCCAGAAGGAAAACAGCCTGTTTGTTGTTTCAAAGAACTATGTTCTTTTCCATGGGCAACAATGATATAAGTTCCCAAGTAACCCCTTTGTTCTCAAGGGGTAAAGTACAGACCACCAGCTTGTAAGGAGGTCCTTTTGGTGCCTCCAATGCGGATGGTTTATACAATCCGTGTCCAAAGTCCGGTCAAATGACAAGGGGTTGTCTTATTGTGCCTTAGTTTCCATATTAGTGACTTGGAAGTTCAGAAGTTGAATTTGTTCTTTTATTCCTTTGGCAATTTGGCTATGTGTTTGGGCATGTTTGGGCTAGGTGGCTCTTTCCTCTTGAAATGTTGTCTCAAGGCAAGGTTGGAAACTGACATTCGGAGCTGTTCAAGGTTCTAACATCATGTTGGTTGTTTGTCAGGATCACATGTTGGTGATTCTAAGTAATATTTGAAGCATGGAGCAAAACATGAAAAACGATGGGGATATGGGTCATGTCTCAAAATTATTCAAACTTGAGATATGTTCTCCTCCAAGTTCATTTTTTTCTGTAGACAATTTTGGCCGAAAACCCGATGGCCCGGGACCTGGTAATGCCCCTCCACCCCTTCCGTTCTAAGCGGCATTTGTTCGATATTTTTGTGTGCTTCCTAGGCTTAGCGCGTAACCCATGGAATGATATGCGAAGTGTCCTGTATGTCTCCATTTGAATGATTACTGTACGCCGCCCAAAGTATAGAATCATGATAATCATACATGATAATTCTCCAGTCATTTTCATGAGATTCAATTTTCAATGATTTTTTGGGCTCCAGAAGCTATCGGAAAAATCACGGGACCTGGTCATCTCAACTCACGCGTGAGGTGAGGTTACTTTCCTCTCAACTCGGGGCCAGGCGTGCCGCTTGTGGATGAGTTGCAACCCTTGGGGATTCCAACCCCAATTTTAGGTGCCAAAGATTTGCTATGGAATTTGTATCTTCTTTTTCTCAAGAAATGTTGGAGTTAGAAGTTGATGGTGTTCTTTCTTGTTGTCCATCCTGTCCATCCTGTCCATCCTGTCCATCCTGTCCATCCTGTCCATCCTGTCCATCCTGTCCATCCTGTCCATCCTGTCCATCCTGTCCATCCTGTCCATCCTACTTGGGTATAAAATGCTAAAAGCTGGTACAACAGTACAACATATTTTAAACTGGTACAACATGCTATGACATGGTGTAGCATGGTGTATAGTGTGCATATATATATAATTCGTAATATATATATATAATATGTGTGTGTGTGTTTGTGTGACATATAGAGCTCCGCGCGAAGACCTCGTTTTTTTGGGGGGAGATGGTTGGAAACCACCAAGGATCATCCCTGGGCCCTGGCCTTATGGTCAAGACGCTAGTCGTTCACATGCAGTTTCGAAATATGTAGACACACACAACACACAACACATGTCATAATTGTATATATATATATACACGTGTATATATATATACGTATATATATATATATATACGTATATATATACACATGTGCACATGTGTGTGTGTGTGTTACAGTGTTTTTTCTCTGATATATTTATAAGTTTTTTTTTTTTTTTTAAGTAGTTATAAGTTATACGTGTAAATTTGTTACATAGTTACAGTAGTATGTTCCAGTACATGTGTACATGTGTATATATATATCATCTATATATGGTAACATTTACCATCAATTTACCATCATATACCATCAATATCATATCATTTACTGTACCATCAATTTACCATCATATACCATCAATATCATATCATTTACCATCAATTTGCCATCATATACCATCAATATCATATACCATCATAAAATTTACCATCATTTAACATATTGAAGAGAGAGGGGAGAGAGAGAAATCATATCGCAGGAAAGCGTCACCGCGGCAGCTGGCGTGCGGGAGCCTGGGGATGGATCCCCTCCACCCCATGGCGACATAGCTGTGGGGCGATTGTGGGTTATATACGGTATGTATTCATATTGTCGATGAGATCTATTGCACATATATATGATATAATATAATATGATATAATATAATATTATATAATATATTGTTTTATTATATTATATCATGTTTTTTGTTTGTTTATTTTTATTTTTTTAAACTATGTATGTTTCGTTCCAGTTATACATGTTGATGATCTATTGCCTGTATAGGTTTATGCATGTTTGTCACGCAGCTGTTCAAAATTGTTTCCAGCTGCTTCAGATCCGTTTCGATTTTCCTTGGATTGCGAGGATGGTCGGAATGGGAGGTGGGCCATGCCAGACCCATGTTGAAAATCAGCTTCCATCAGCCACTGGTACACTGGATCACCCTTCGAAACTCAGTTTTCCCGTTTTTGTGCGAAGATTTCCTGAGATCTTTAAACATTAAAAAAAAAAAACATTCCTAACCAAGCCCCCTCAAACTGAAACGAATTTGACCAGAAGGTCCTACGGAGCGGTGCCATTTCATGCTCCATGAAAGGGAACATGGTATGCAACTTCCTCAGTCTAGGGGGTTGTGAATTCACTCTTGGAATCTCTTGGGTATTCTTGGGCTGTTCCATTTGTTCATGTCGAATTCAGGTTGAGTGATGTTTTTTTTACACCCGCTGCCATTGCAAGAGCTGGGGGCGGCATGAACGCAGCAGATAGCAACATCCCGGTATAGGAGCCCCGGGTTTTCACATCAATTTCTGCATGGATTTGCCTTGCAAAGTAAGTAGTAGCTTAGATATATCAACCCCTCCATAGGTCAGCCTTGGTAGCAGAATTTTTGAATCTGAGAATCTCCAACTCGACGAAGCTAGGGCCTAGGGCATCCGCTACTCATTCTTTCAGCGCCCCACTGTACAGACGCCCTTTATGCAATGGCCACCGAAGATGCTGATGGCATGAAGGCCGTATACCTCACAAACATTGATCTCGAGGCCTCGCATTACTCGCACCTTGTCAAATTCGATAGTCACAGAGATGTTTGGATAGAAGCTGGAACGACTTTCAGCATGAGAATGGTGAAGATCTTGGTTGATCATCCTTCTGCGGTTTGATTTACGGGAATTTTATGGGACATTGGCACCCATAAATCTCTCTAATCCTAAACTGGGGTTTCAGTTTCAATCATGGGAATATTTGGAAAGTCCACTTGAAGACAACTTCGACCGCTGCATTTGCACTGATACAGTATCTGAATCTTTCTTTTAGGTATTTTACTGGCTGGTGATGGTTTTCATACATATTGCCAAGTAGCGAATCCAAAACAAGCCGCTGGGTGCGGAAGAATTGACATCAAACATCCATATGTTTGAGGATGGGTTGGAAAAAAAAACAACCAACCGACATATGGACGACCATTTGGACACCTGGGTCAGTGATTGTTCAGTGATTGGTCGGCCTCATCACTTTGGTAAAGAAACCTTAAGGAGGAGAGATACAGATCACATTAAATCACAATGTTTGCTTTATAGAACCAGGTGCAGTGGTGAATTTAGATAGATTTAGGATGATTTAGGGCCAATTTAGGGGGATCGTAGAAGTTGTAGCCTTCAAACATTGGGGATGATCATAGTCCTGGGATGACCCCTGTTGCATTCCCCGCAGCTCCAGCTGGATCTTCGGAGACGGTGGAGCTTGGAGCACAGGGTATTTGGAGCACTGCTCGGGTTCATCAAACTTCGGGGAAAACAAACATGTATATATTATATATATAATTATATATAATTATATATATATTATTACTTCATATAAAGGTATACTTCCATAAATGTATACACTATATGTATATTAATGATATATATATATATATACATACACACGCGCACACACGTTCTATGTTGTTCGGGATCGCTATCCACAATCCGCAGCACCGTCACCCAGGAATTCCTCTACCGAGAACGCCGACAGCGACACAGAGGTCACTGCGGACAGCGGCAGCAGTTCAGAGTCTGAGGGCCATGCCCTTCATCCCTCAGAGCCTGCCACCTGGCGGGTTGGGGGCAGGGTGGATGGTTGAAATCACCCAGAAATCGTCGAATTTCATGCTTTACCATGCACACCATGTTCCATTCACTTACGAAATGTCTTATGTGGTCTTGCGAAGTGTCAGATGGCAAATGGCTGCTTAATTATTGTTTTCGAGTTTTTTTCGCCTGGTGGGGCTTATTGATTCAACATTCTCCATTGAAGATAACATGATCCTAATTCCTGGTTGATCAAAGGTTGATTCCCTGTTTTTTTTTCCATCCATACTGGGGTGCCATGCACGTGTGTAGCGTCAGCATACATGCCCACTATGACCTGTGTGTTTGTATCCATTCTGCCATGACCATGGTTCTGGATTAAGATGATTGAGTCTCCGCATATTCAATTGAATATGTTTGTCCCTATGATATCCCGAAATTTATAGCTTCAGCCCTCAATTGGGCAGTTAATCCTCCCATTTTTTACCACGAAATCCAAGTAAATGCCAGAAAACTGACAGTAAATCCGTAAAATTCCCATGAAAATCCCAGAAAATCCCATGACAGTTCAGAACATGCCGCAGAAATCCCATGAACATCACAAAAACTCGCCCAAAGATTCCCTATGAACTCTGGCTTTTTGGGATCCGGTTCGAACGGGTCCCAGGTGCGTTGGTCTTGGGTGCGTCGCCGCGCCATGATCCGGGCATCCTTGGCGGTCCCTGGGCGAAAACATGGCAAGGGGCCTGGGGATTTCTCCAACCAAAAATGCTAATTTTCTGGTGGTAGAATGGCGATTACCCTCTGGTAATTTAACATAGCTATGGAAAATCACCATCTATAGTAGGTAAATCCACTATAAATGGTCATTTTCAATAGTTATGTTAAATTACCAGAGGATATCACCAACAAATGTAGTTGAAGAATCAGACATGACGATTTCACAGAATTTAAGTACAATCATGAATCATGATAGTTTCGTTTGGAATGAAACATGGTGATTTAAGCCACAAAAGAATGCTATCAACCAAAATTGGGACGCTACCATCAAAATATTGGATTTAAACCGACAATCATGGGGGTTTAATAGTCAGAGATTTGAACAACAAAGTCAGAATTTTGCACTCCAGTAAGGTAACGTAGATATGCAAACAACCATGGTTAAGCCATTCGGAAAATGATCTATGTGGGTTTTCCATATCTGTGTCAAAGTACAGGATGGTAACGATATTATGTATGTTTGTCTTGTTGTTAATATATGTGTAATACTATATATATATGTTTATGCCCAATATGAAAATCAACATGCAATTCATCGATTTTAACCAAACTCATTTGTCATTGTACAAAAGAACAGCTAGAACAACTAGTGCGTAACTGTCTGGGAATCGGCTAGACAATGCAATGGGGTTACAAGGTGATGTTCTGACCTTGGGTTTGCAATGTGTTTTCGTATCCACTGGCCGATGTTGTTTGATGGTTTCTATATATATATATAATTATGCAACATGCATATGCATCATATGCCCATTTGATTGAAGAACTGTGTACCTATATACCATTATATACCCTTTTGTCATCTCTTCCATGTCTTCCCATTTGTTCCGATCTCTTCCCATCTTTTCCCATCTCTTTCCTCTTGAATCGGTCCCCACTGCTGCGGCTGATTCCCGGATTTGCTGGAAACAAGTTGGTGAACCAACCATTTAGGGGGAATCTACTTGGAATGCTCCGTTCAACTCCAAGTATATATTTGCCGGTTACTGCTGGTTTTTTTTCAAAAATCGTCTCCTGGGATTTGCATAAATTTGCGCCCTGCTTCCCGGATTCTCCCGTTGCTAGAACTGTAACTAATCCTGTAACTAATGTGGGTAAAACAATGTCATAAACCATCCCCCAGTCATCGCCATACATATATATATATATATTATATATATATGTTGTATAAACCATTTTCAAATAGATGGTGTATGGCATTGTTTTACCAACATTATTGTTTGCCACGATTTTTCTTACTCATTCATTGTTGTTGCAGCCTCGGTGGTGCAGCAGCAATTTGTCCAGTAATTTGCTGCGTTGACGCAAGTGCATGTTGTTTCACGCAACGGGCAACCCCCCTGGATGCCCCAGCAAAAAAAACATTGATTGTTACCCTCTGGTAATTTAACATAGCTATTGAAAATGACCATTTATAGTGGATTTTCCCATGAAAAATGGTGACTTTCCATAGCTATGTTAGTTTACCAGAGGGTATTCATTGTTCTTCCCAAATACCTATAATATCTTAACTGTGCTATTCATCATTAAGCACCCTCGAGTAGACAAACCGTTTGCCATGGAAGCCATGGTCCATTTAGTGTGACGATTTACCAAATTTCAAAATTGGTCGGTTATCCGGTTGTCCGCTTCGATTTTGAACATCTCCCAACTATATAGTAAGTAAAGGTTTTTTCCCCTGAACTAGTGATTTACATAAGAGAAGTACTGATGTTGCCATATTAAAAGTCACCAAAGAAGGCAAAACCCCTGGCCAACCTGTGGCCCGTGCTAGGCTGTTCTGGCGCTCTTCGCAGTAACTTGGTGGACCACAGGGGGCTTTCCAGATGGATGTAGCAACCGCCAAGAGATGTTTAAAGTATTACATAATTACAAGAAATTTAAGCGGATTTAATGGACTTTAATGAAATGTGATGGGTCTGGAAAGGTTGGAACTTGGAAACTATTGAGGAAACATCACCGAACTGCAATCCTGGAAACACTGTTTGGATCTTTTTGGTATTTTTTTAGGGGTTACATACGGGTAAAAATTGAAGGCCCAGACCACAGATATTGGTTATTTTGATTGACCATCCAATTTTAGGGGTACCATGTGGCTGTCTTTACTTGATAAATATAGGGCAAATCATTTGTAAGTTTCCAAGGCTACTAGTATGTTAAACTACGATACAGTAGAGAAGTAGAGATGGATGTTTGTATATGTGTGTGTGTGCGCGCATGTGTGCAAATATGAGTGCAGTATATATCAAGTAATTTATTTATATATATATACATATGCAAATATAATATATATATATATATGTATATAATATACATTTGTATATAAAGAAATACAGTTTTAGACAGTCATATTTTGATACAGGCCAAAAACACGCAAACACATATTCTTAACCCCTAGCTAAACTCTGGGAGATGGCAATGGAGAGGGAGAGAGAGAGAAAGAGAGAGATCTTTCATATAACCCTGCTATCCTGCTGGAGTAGGTCCGATATAGAACTCCACTGATAATTTTGGATTTTTTTTTTCCGAAACCTGAAGATAGTTTAATTTGAGAGCAGAACTCTCGTTGGGACTCGCTGTTGGTTTGATCTTGGTTGATGAAGCATCAAGTGTTGTTGACATCCCCACTCTTTGAACACTTCACCGAAAAAAAAACTGGTTGGATATGTGTTCCTTCCATATATCAGGATCGGACTTTTTCAAACTCTGTATACTATAAGCAACTGAAAACACACGCACATATATATATATATATAACGAGAGTAATTATCTACCCTCCAACAATCTAAGATCCACATCAAAAATCCACCATTTTTCGGTCAAAAAGTCCTCGACTTTCCGCCCTGGGCCGCAGGTCTTGTGGCCGGTGTTGACTTTCTTAGTCAATGGCCCCTGCGAAGCGAAGGAGTATAGCGTCACAGCTGCTTGGGCGAGTTATTAACAAAGGCCCCCGTGTCAGAAAAAAACATCGGATGGATTTACATGATGATGATTACTGGTATATCAATGGTGATTCGTATACGGAAACAGTGGGGTGATTAATGGTGATAAATGGTGATTAATGGACATACCATCCGGTAATCAAACATGGCAATTGGAAATCCTCTATAAATGGAGGTTTATATTTATAGCTGGTTTTTTCCTTGAAATGGGAGATTTTCCATTGCCATGTTTGATTGTCGGAGGGTACATGTTTTACACCTTTTGGGCACCATACTACACGCCGTGTTTCATATAGGGGATGGGATGATTAACCAACCACAGGGAACATTATTTTATCATGCAAGAAAGAATGACGTATTGATTGCAGATAGAATAGGATATTAATATATATATATATACACCCAACAATCTGACAATGCTAAACCAATGCTAAACCATTGGATTTGGGCTACCCTACATTCAGACAAAGCCATCTCCCTGACAGCCAGCAGTGGGATTGTCGTTCAGCGCCATCAGTGATCTAGTGGGCATTCTTCACCAACAATCGGTTTTTTGTATAGAAACAAAAAAAGAACCTGCGACAGTAACTGGGTTCTTTCTCCCACGTGTTTTCAAGGGAGGCTTGGAAGCTATGATGGATATTTGAAACATTTTGAAACTGTCATATAGCTGCGATATTGTTGCATTGTATAACTTGTATATTTTGTCATAGGTTCCCTATTAACAAATGCTGTTGTTCACTTGTCAGACTTCCCATAGGTTCATGTCCTTGGGGTCATCATCCCCGGCACACCCCGAGGCACAGAAAAATCCCCTGAGTTACCGTCAGTTGAACGTCCATAAATTCCCCTTGGTAGGTGAGCAACCAGCTTCGAAATACGTATAACAAATTTATACTGTAATCGTTAAAACATATTAACACTTATCATTATTTACATATACACAAATAATGGCTAGGCCGTGTATGTATAATATATATATATATTTAAACATCGAATGAATATATATATATATATGTGTGTGTGTGTGATATGTGTGTGTTCCAGCTGCCTCAATCATCCATTGTGTTCCCTCCCACATGCTGTCGGACTACCTGTTCTGTGAGCTTGTCTACAGACATACGCCTTTTAACCCACAGCCTGCAGGAAACGAACACCAAGATCGCAGAAATAAACAACGATAACAACGTTTGACGGAAACGAGAGATACTCCCGCATCGTTCTTGGATATGGTAAGTTCCCCAACTGAGGTTACTCCTAGTTCCATGTTAGAACCAATGGAGCCTCATGACCAGGATGATCAACCGTCGATTTCACAGTTGGTCCAAATCCCAATTAGTCCAGGGCCTGAACCAAGCGGTGATGGCAATGCCGCAGCAACGTCCCCATTACCCTCTCCTACCTCTCCTGTAGTTGAAATGGATGGAGTTTCTCTTCTTGCCATTCATACCCCCATTCATACCCCCACCCTTTTCATGAGTTTTGACCCACATTCTGGTTTCAATCTGACCAATGCGGGAAACACTGCAACACCAAAAACCAATACCTCCATGAGTATAACCAAAAAACCAACCAAATTCCGGGCCCGCTAGAAAAACTTAGGGGTGGAAGCCCACCATACATGGGGGCTGGTCAAGTTGGGAAGGCACCCTTTGTCCCAAAAGGGGAAGTTGACGGACAAGCCGGTCCAAAAACAACCAAGATCAAATTGTACTTGTCGGAACTGTCAGCACCAAGTGGGCTTCTACCGGTCGGAATTCCCAGAATCGCTATGGCGCTGGGGATTGAAACACTTGATTTTGGTCCTGGGATTAGTTCACGTTCTCAACCCATCACATGTTGATGCGGGACCCCGCTCTTCACACGGTATGTTTCCATGGGTCCAGCCAAGCTGAGTCTACGAGGCTTATGTGGTGATGGCCTACACCACCATCATGTCATTGATTTGCTTACGTCCCTGGGGCGAGCTTAAAAGGGGAGGTTGAAAGGGGATATTTATACTGATGCATAACGGCTATATAGTGTGAAATGATAGAACAGGGGTATGAGCATTGGAATTGCTGAGCACAGTTGTTGGGGTATACCAGTCATTTTACGGGGATATCATGGGATATAAATAATATGGGATATAATGCTGATTATTCAACCTTAGCTATAGTCATGAGGGGGATTATGCAGCAAAGTGACCAGAATATCATTTCATCTTATTCACTGTGATACTGTGCACATATCATAGTACGAACATTGCAGTTGAATCTTAGTGGATGGAAACTCCCTTGAGTTGACGTCTGCCGAGGCCTCGTCATCAACTCCGAAATGACCTGGTGGCTTTCCTCCCCTTTCCTGGTCCTTTTGCGCTGGCACATCCTGCCACCTGGATCTGACCATATTTTGTGGTGGAAGCAAGCCTGGGTCTACGGTTGATGTATAATATATAATATAGGCTGTAAGGCGGGGATAGTTAGATTACTTTAATAGGTTAAGTACTATTGGCGTTTTCCGGTCAATCATCGAACTTAAATGATGGTAGTTATATGTATATAATTATATATATATACCTGAACATTCCTTCGATCAATTATTTTTGGTAGTTTTGGAGTATGACCTAAAATGACCCAGTTTTCAGAATCTCGTCTAATTTTACTAGTTTGCCTGGTTTTGCTTCCTAGTGGCCACACTATCACCACAAGTGACATTTTGAATATGACTGAACATGGCTTGCATCCTGGCTGCGTCCCAGGGACACACCAGGCCATTCTCATATCCCGAGCACCAACGCATATAAATGCACATAAGTGCGCCCAAAATTACCCGCAAAACGCCCGCAAAAATCCGCAAAACGCCCGCAAAAACCCGCAAACGCCCGCAAATCCAAGAATCTGGTAAATTTGTATAATTTTGGGAGCGCGCAATTAAACAGAAACCAACTTGGATGTGCAGATTGAAAGCAAAATACTGGTGAGAAGACTGGGAGGAGGGCCATGCCGATGGGAAACACAGCCATGACATACCACGCCTAACTTTTTGGGGAAACGCTCGATACGACCATAAATTTGATGAAACGCCTGATTGTGCAAAACGACTGATATTTTTTAGGAGTTGGAAGGCCCAGGTATATATACATTGCCAATTTTTGATAGCTAGGTTAAACTACTTACTTCCAGTGATCCCCACCATGGCATTCTATCTACTGTAGCGTCACCTCCTTTTGCAGGTTTTGAAGCCAAACGGCTGGAAAAACTGCCTTCGAACACTTCTCCATACTTTTCCCAGACCAGATATGTCTATCTATCGATCGATCTAATGTTCTATTCTATTCTGATTCTATTCTATTCTACTCTACTCAATTCTATTCTATTTTATTCGAATTCTATCTATATCTATATCTCTATGTCTAAATCTATATCTCTATATCTACTATATCTAGTTGACGGGTTCAACAAAAACAGCTAACAGATGGCCATAATTCACTGGGGGGCGGCACGTGGCTACGACGTAACGTAGCCATACGTAGCCTGCTCAACGAGACCGAGGTTAGATGCCATCAATGTGTGGCTCTTCCACATCACCCTCCACCCACTCTGCACCTTCAGAGGGTCCCTTGGAGGGCGTGGGATAGGCTCTGGTTGCGGGTCAGCGGAACATCGGGGATTTCTGGATTTTCATCTCCAAACGGAAATGTATTCATAGGTATTGTAATTAATTGTGTTGATTCATGGCCATGTGATCATATGGATGTGTTTTTTTGAAAAGGGGTATGTCCCCAATTTCTGGCAATTTCACCCATGACATGTGCAACAATTATCCAAGAGATACATGTGATACACTCAATCTTTGGACCCGATGGCCGTCGAGTATCCAATGGGCAAACGGACCAAAAATCCCCTACATGGCTATTTGAATGGGGAAAATGATGGTTCACCATGATGGTTTTTCTGGGTACTCATTTTCAGACAAACGATACACACGCAAATGAATTTAAGACACAGCCACCTTATTGTGAGGACAAACAATGCAGTCCATATCCCTCATGTTCTTACCTCTTATTGTGACAATCATGAGAAGTTCGCCATTGTAGCCATCCGTTTGTTTCTTCATGTGTTAGCTCGTCTGCATTGTCCTTATCATTCCTTATCCATTCGAACATCATGAATGGTATTTGGCACAGGTAGCATTCGATGATGGATATGGTCTGAATCCTGGCCCTCTAGGCTCTAGGGGTCCAGTTTTCTGGGCCCACTGCGAATTGCATGCAACCGAACCACCCATCTTTCAGTATTCTTTGGAACCGATTGAGGATCCTTTACGGAAAGGACTTTATCACTTGCAGCATCCTCCCCTAAAACCCCTCTTTGTCCAAGGACATCAAATTTACCTCCAACAGGCCTCTCAAAGTATCCACATTTTAGGGATACAAGAAGTCAGGAATAACATGCAGAGATATCTCTAGGCTATACGGATATGATGTGTTACATCATTTGACATCACTCATTCATCATGTAACGCATTTTTTTGATTTTGACATTATGACAAATGTTGGCCAATATGTTTTCCCATCACTATTTCGAAACATCATCTTAACCATGGGGCAGCTCCCCTGAGGTTTTTGGCGGATGTGCATTTTTTTGGCTGGCTAAGCCTGGTGACGCAGATGTTTTTCTGGATGATCCTGGCCGATGACGAATGGTTACTGTGTGTTCATCAATATGTTATTGCTATTAAAACGGCCACACGCCATCGCTTGCCCGTGTCCCGAACTGGTGTTTGTTTCATCATCGTCGTCGTCGTCGTCATCATCATCATCATCATCATCTCTGAGGACCTTTAACAACGTTCTTGTGGGTCAAGATTCACATCCGTAGCACAACAGGATATGTTGTACCAAAACTATGTTCGTAATCTCTGAGGACCTTTACTTTATCAGCGTTCTTGTTGGTAAAAAATCACACCTGTAGCGTAACATGACACGCTAGATAGAGTTTCCATATTGCCCCCCCCCCCTCCGAACCCCGCAACCCTAAATGGTGAGAAGTAGATATATTCTCAAAGATTGTAAGAAGTCTTTCATCGCAATCTGAGAAGCAGATATTGTTTCAAGGATCGTAAGAAGTCTATCATCATAATAAGTGCCAAGTGTGATGGTGCCCATGTGGAGGTCCCCTAACTGGCGTTCTCGCCAGCTGCACCTCCTTGATGAAAGCTACGGTCAGTTGAAAATAGGTACCTTTTCTGTATCCCAAACAATAAACAGATAGAACAAGTGTAGGACGGGGGCTGGATTTAGGGTATCACATTCGATCTCCCGGTTGGGTCTTTCAAAAAGGTCATAGACCCAGGTGCTGGGACCTGTTTTCTTGTACGCATGGCTTTACCACATGATTTTTTGTCTGAAAACATCAGGTCACTGACCCCAAATCCCGTGGTTGATGATAATTTTCCCGTGAAGATTGCAACTCCTTGGGGGCATACACCATTTTCAGTGACCTCGATATGTTGCCAACGTTTGCTGTGGGTGTTGTTTCACCCCGCGCTGTTGGTGAGTTGGTCAAGGGGGGCGCCATTTTCGTAACATATTTTCTGGATCAACTGATTCTAATAGTGACTTCATTGTGACGTCATTGAAACATATGACGTGACGTCATTGGGAATCATCCCCAAATGGCTGAATTTCAGATATTTTCAGGTTAGTGGAATATGATATTTCAGCCATCATATTCTCACTATTTGGTGCGGTACCTCCAAAACTAAAGAAACCGGGTTTGTTAATCGGCTGCTGACATGAGTTAGTTTCATTAAGCAATTACAGAGATTTCAACCCCAATAATCACACATTACCCCCACCAACATCACCACCCCCAAATACAACTGCAAGTACAACCCTATCAAAGCGCAATGGTCGTAGGATTGGGTTATAATGTGGTTAAAAGATGTTACAACAATAAATAATAAACAACCCATATGGGAATTATTGATACCACATATATGGTGATTTGAGGGATGGTTTATTATTGGTTTACCCACATTATAGGGAAATGAATATGTAAACCAGAGACCATGTTTCTGTTGTGGTGACGATCTTCCCTTGCCCCAGAGCCCATGACTGGTGCATGTGTCTGGATTTTCAGTGGTTAAATCCGGCTGAATCCACAGGTTCATTGGTCACATCCCATTACATCATTCTTAAATTCCGATTTTGGTTGATTAAATCATTATTTTTCCAGATCAAGTTGATTACAGTATATAAATCCCATAAATTCATATAAATTCCATAAACATCAATGTTCATCGGTTAAACCCCATGAATTCACAATTGTGTTTGCTTCAAGATCAAATTGATTTGAACCCCATGAAATCGCATGAATTCACCCTTTTCAACCGTTAAATCCCATGAAACCCCAATGAAATCATCGCAATCAATGGTCAAATCACTACTTCTGTCCAGTCTATCCAGATCTGTCAGGAACAAGTTCATGGGTTTCTCCATCATCACAACGCACTTGGTGATGTTGGAGCGTGCATTTGACCGGTCATTGGAAACCAAGCACCTCGTCAGGGGTGGATTTTTTTTTGGGGGGTAAACGGGTAAACTCCACTTGTGGGCAAAATCTCCATGTTTGATTGTTTTAAAACCATGTTAATCCAGAATTGTCGTTGGTTAAATTGTGGAATCTTCACGAATCTTTTGTTTTGATGGCTGAGTCCCAATGTTTTTTCCGGTGCAAGAAAAAACACCATTCAGCCAGCTGAAGATCCCATGTCGACCAGGTTCCTTCGGACGCTGTACATCCCCTTCGCTTTAGGCCTGGTCACTGCGACTTGGATCTTAGCGAGATCACCAAAGTCTGGGCATTGCCCAGTACCAGCTATGAGTAAACCTATAACCTATACCCTCTGGTGATTTAGCAGTTTGCTATTGAAAATGGCTCATAAACAGTTGATTTACCTATTCCAAATGGTGATTTTCCATAGCTATGTTAGTTTACCAGAGGCTAACTATACTTTATTAATGCTTATTCTTTCTCAGAATGTATCCCGTTATGCATTGATACATCTGGTCAAGTTATAACGACCTCACGCCGTGACCGAACCCTGGAATCATAAGGGATTTTTTTTTAAAATCAACATGGCATTATTTCAGGTAAGTCAATTATATTATAATCGTTTGCCCAGTCCAAAGTGGTCATACAAGATGACACGTTTTAGGGATGGTGTTTGAAAAGTCACAGGTAATCGGTACCCTCAATTCCATCGGAAAATCAGCAGTAATTATATATATATCCTATTGAAATGGCCATGGTATACCCTATTTTCTGACAAAGCCACATATGTATACATCATGGATTTGAATAAAGAATGTAATGTGGGAACCTAATGCCATAAACCATCCCCAAGTCATCACCACAACTGGGTGGTGTGTTTAGTATGTTTACGTATGTTTACCATCCCCAGTCATTGTCGTTGTTTATGGCAGCCAGGGTTTAGCACATGAATCAACAAAACTAAGACTCATTCCAAGGGAGCCAACCGTCTAAAAATATACAAGACCTATAGCATCTATTCTATATTCAGTTCACCATCCAAACATGTGGGTTTAATCAATCAATCTAAAGAAATAGTGCGGCATGATGGGCACATCATGCGGGAACATATTTGGGATAGATACTGTGGAAAATTGATGGATGGATGGATGGATAGATAGATAAATAGATAAGTAGATAGATGGATGGATGGATGGATGGATAGATAGATAAATAGGTAGCTAGGTAGGTAGATAGATAGATAGATAGATACACATAATTATGATCAATTAAGACGACCTCATTGTGACGTCACTATTGGAAATGATGGTCAGGATTGGGGTAACTATCTCCAAATGGCCGGCCCTTTCAGGTCGGTGATTTGTTATAAATCATAATTCAGTCAGATTGATTTGCTTATGATATGCGAATAAAGGGACCATGGTCAAAATGATGTTTATTTCCCCTAGAAGATTAGAAGGACATGATCATCCTTCATTTTTTTCAGGCTTCCCCATTCATGATTGTGGGATGCCTGTACATTTATGCACATTGATGGTGATTTGCTTCTTGAATGTGCGGGAATTTCACTTGCTATGTTCGTGTAGCATCATTATAATGTTGTGCAATTCACGATAGACCCTGGCCAAAGCCTTGATGCTGTGAATACCTGGAGGAAGGGCATCATGAAAAGATGTCCGTCACCAGTGTGCAAAAAACTAAACCTGGAAGTGTGTTTCTGCAAGCAACGTCTCGTCCTTTGTGCTGGAAATTGATGTGATTCATGATGTTTGATTTGAAAATGAGCTGTTTGGCAGGGCCATTACTGTACTGTATGGTCCATTTGCATTCCATTTGCAGGCTTTGAAAGTTGAAAGCAGCAATCTGTGGGAAAATTGGCATATACATGGAATTAGCCCTTGGCGGGTTTTCCCAACGCAAGGGTAAACCCGAATGCTGCAGGTAGTTCCAGCAAGAGGGTGTTGTGGAAACCAGCTAGTTTGAGTATCTTTCAGTTTCAGCAATCCCTGGGGCCCTGGTGCCCCTTTATTTTTGTACCGAAGAGGGATGGACAAAGATTTTTAGCCAAGGCAAGTGTGTTCCTTCTGGTCGTTCACATCGGCAACGGCTTGCTTCTTGATGGACATGTGGACATGTTGGCACTTTCAGATTTTTGTTGCCCCAAAATTCTGAGCAGATTTCCTGGGGAAGATGGAAGCACCAAGCAGCACAAGCATTTTTTTGCTGGTGATGTTGTTGCCAGGGAGGTGTTTATATAAACTGGACGCTGGACAATTAAGGAATGGGCGGAAGTTTCCCAGTGCCATGCTCGTCGAAACATGAAAGAGTTGCCTTTGTTGAAGAAACCTTTGCCAAATTAATTTAAAAGTAAGACTAAAACTACTAAAATCCAAACTTGAACATTATATATATATATCCCATCGCATCCCCACATTGCTGATTGTATATAAGTACATGCACACACACAAACACATTATACATATAGCTATACATATGTTTTACATACGCACACACACATATATATTTTTATAATATATATATATATACATACACATGCGCATATGTACATTTATATTCCCCATGACTCTAGCCATATTCGTTGCTTGATACCCCGTATTTGTGATGATAAAACCACCAATTCTATCTACTGTCTTGATTCTGCCCTCCCCCCGGCAAGGCCCTTGAAGTAGACCCCACGAATCCAGTCACCAGGGCCACCAGGGTTGTTCTACAGTTACACCCCGTTGGATGTACAAGTAATCATATCCCCATCATACAGCCATGATACCATAGTTTGTTGGTTTCATCAGCATTTTTGTTGATGTTAATCACCATAAATCACCACAAAATTGGTATTTTCCTACGGTTTTCCCATATGTCATGTAATGATTTCCCATGAAAATCCATGAAACTTTGCCCATGAATCGCCATGACGTTTGACTGTTAAGGGACTGGCTGCTCTTTGGAGTGGTGGTGATCGAACTTTGCGTGGTGATGTCGACCCTCTTCGTGGCTGCCGCTGATCTGAAATGAAGCCACAAATCAATGGATTGGTTTAGGGGAAAACCTACAGGAAACCATAGATTTTCCCATTCAATGTGGGGCTTTCCTGTAATTTTTCCCTTAAACCAATCCATTGAAAAAAGGTCCAATTTCTCGAGGTCTTGATGACTCGTGGCTTCCTCATGGCCCTGCGTTCCTTGGCGTTCCACGAGAGGACCGTATACTTTCATTGATGGGAAAATCAACATGTTGGATCGGTAAATCATTACAAAATGCATTTTCTATAGGATCTATAGGTAAATGATCCGAAATTTGAATTTTCAATGGTTAAATCATCTATAATGCATCTATAAGCCATCTATTAGTGGTTAAATCATCCTTGCTATCATAGCACTAGAACGGGCCATCGAACTACCATAGCCGCGTAACAAATAGCCAGAGGGCAATCCCAGATGTTCTCAGCATTTGTTGCAGGGAGATTGTTGCGGGGAAAAAAACAGTACTGGAAAAAAATCAGCAGATTTTCTTTGCATTCTGCATTCCATGCAGATTTAACATCGTGGGAGCTGCCTGGCCTTACTTCCATGTCGAATTGTAGAGTTTTTTGTTGACTCCGTCCAGTGAATGTGACATGGGAAAAGTAAGGGCGGAGTGTCAAATGTGCTGTTTCCTTTCCATCCTAATGTTTCCAATAGTTTGGATATAGTTTGTGCATGATTGTGCCAGCTAGCCAGCAATTAAAGAACAGAGAGAGAGAGAGAGAGTACTGACAACAGTGATACAACATTGCATAACAAAATGGGGATCAATGGCGAAACCTCTGGACAAAACTGAGGAGTCAGAAATGGAGGAACATTATATATCCATGCTTTGATCAAATAGAAGACCTGTTTTAAGAGTTTCAACAGCACCTAAGCTGATCTTAGAATAAAAACGCAAGACTGCTTACTGCTTACCTTTTTTTGAATCGGTGTCGGTCATATTCCAAGAATCGGTTGAAGATTGCTTGACGTGATTTATAAATGTAAAATTCCAGATCGGCGCAACATTAAAATGCTGGTGATCGCCCCTATTTTCCTTAAAATCACCTGAGATCCATCAATACCCACTCAAATTCAATGAGAATCCATTGCGACCCACAGTTTATATAGACAACAAAAATCATCGAATTCCCAGACTTTCTCAGTGAACAAGTTTTTTCTCAGTTTTCTCAATCAAAATGATTTTTCATGTTTCTTCATTTTGTTCATATTCCAAAAGGTTATGCATTGTCTTCACAAAGTACCGTGGAGTTGCAAAATCCTGCACCAGTTGGTTGATGGTATATCAGTGTCAATCCCAGGATAATCCCTTTATTTACATGACAATCCCATCAAACCTATTTTTTGGTTTACAGTGTCTCACAGTTACCAATAGTTAACAACTGATAAACTAACATAAAATGGAAAGTCGCCATGTTGAATCGGTAAATCAACTATTTCTATGGAAATCTTCCATAGCTATGTTTAGTTACCAGAGGGCATATTCCATCAATCACCATTACCAACCATTACTGACAATCATTAAGCATTATATATTAACCATTATTAGCCATAATAAACTGGTTGGTGGTTTGGATTTTTTTCATTTTTCCATATATTGGGAATTATAATCCCAACTGACTCATATTTTTCAGAGGGGTAGGTCAACCACCAACCAGTTAAACGTTATTAACTCTTATTAACTGTTATTATGAACCATGATCAACTCTTATTAACTGTTATTATGAACCATGAGTAACTCTTATTAACTGTTATTATGAACCATGATTAACTCTTATTAACTGTTATTAACCATTGTTAAGTTACTGTTACCCATCGTTAACACCTGCACGTCCTAGGCTCGGCTCACATGGAGATGAGCTTCGGTGGCTCCCGCGCGCGTGGTGCGTCGGCAGCGGTGCAGCAGCTGGTCAACAAAGCGGTGCCTTGGTGGATCCGAGGGAGGTATTTCTATGGATGGTTGCCATATGACTATATATTATTAATAATAACCATATATTAACCATATATTTTCAACCACCAATAGTCATATAGCAACCAGTTGGTATATAAACTAATTGATCATCCCAACTAATTGATATTAATCATATATTAACCATAGTTGGGATGATGATCCAATCTGACTACTATTTTCAGAGGGTGACACCACCAACCAGTCTAGTGGAATTCAACCATCAACAATAGTAATGGTTAGTAATTATCAATAATGGCAAAGTAATGGTATAATGGTATTATTATCAATAATGGTATTATTCACCATATGTTAACCATATATTAACCATATTATCAATGGTAAATCCCATTATTAATGGTGGTTTAATGGGATCTAGTGGAATTCAACCATCAACAATAGTAATGTTTGGTAATGATCAAGAATGGTAAAGTAATGGTATAGTATGGTATAATGGTATTATTATCAATAAGTAAGTATAATTCACCATATATATATATATATATTCGAAGGAAGTTTAGAAGTGAAACTTCCGACAATATGGAGAGTTGAAAAGCAGAGGTGAGAAGAGTCAGAAGAGACAAGATCAGAAGAAGGAAGATGCAGATGCGCGAAAAGGTAGGAAAGTCGCGAAACACTGTGTTTTTCCAATGATTTGTGGCTCCGGTGGGTCGAAAAGTAGGCTCGCTAAAGCGGCGGGTGTGGAGCCAGCTGGCCAGATGAGAGATGAAAAGTTGCACGCCGTTGTGGCGCGAAGCACATTTCCAAGTCAAAATGGACAAAACACTAGAGGAGCGGACCACTTTTGGAAGTTGAGATGTCGAAAAAGTGCACGCCGTTGTGGCGCGAAGCACATTTCCAAGTCAAAATGTACAAAACACACCGCGTTCGGACCACTTTTGGAAGTTGCGATGTCGAAAAAGTGCACGCCGTTGTGGCGCGAAGCACATTTCCAAGTAAAAAGTGTTAAAAACTGACGGTCTCGGACCACTTTTGGAGGTTCAGATGTCGCAAAAGTGTCGAAAAAGTGCACGCCGTTGTGGCGCGAAGCACATTTCGAAGTCAAAAGTGTAAAAAACTGAGGGTTTTGAGCCTTTTTTGACGTGAAGATGTCCGAAAAAGTAGACACTGATTAACTTAACTAACTTGACTAACTTAACTAACTTCACTAACTTAACTACCCTAACTTCGACGACAACAGCAACAGCAACAACAACAACAACAACACAACACAACCACAACAACTACAACTACAACTACAACTACAACAACTACAAACTACAACTAGAACTACAACTACAACAGCTACAACAACAACAGCAACAACAACAACAGCAACAACAACAACTACAACACTAACACTACTACAACTACAACTACAACTACAACTACAACTACAACTACACAACAACTAGAACTACAACTACAACAACTACAGCTACAACAACAACAACAACAACAACAACAACTACTACTACTACTACTACTACACAACACACAGCAACAACTACAACTACAACTACAACTACAACAACTACAACAACAACAACACAACTACTACTACTACTACTACTACTACACTACTACACTACACAACAACTACAACCACACAACAACTACAGCTACAACTACAACTACAACTACAAAACAACTACAGCTACAACCATATGACTGCAACTACACTACACTAATTACATTACACCACAACTACAACTCCACTACGCTACAATTACAACTACAGTTGCAGTACATCACACTACATCCAGCAGTTGTGGGTGAGGTGACCACTGCAACCATTGCAACCATTCCAGCAAACACAACTCCAACCACCTTTCGGTCAATCAGTGGCTTCGCTCTGCCATCCCTGATTCACAACAACCAACTTCTCCTACAGGTTTCCTATTTTTGAAACTTCCGCCACCGCCTTGTGCGGTACTACTGGTATAATTTGCCCAGCTATATGACTATCCCCGGACAGATGTGTCATCATAATATCGTCAGAATAAGATCATGACTTATATCCATATGGATATTTGGTCGGTGGTTTGGAACATGACTTTTATTTTCCATATATTGGGAATAATCATCCCAACTCATATTTTTCACAGGGGTTGAAACCACCAACCAGTGTATATATAATATCAACAATATATGTTGTAGAATCTATATATAATATACAATAGAGTAGAAAATACAAAATAAATAAATATATCATCAAATTCAAGTAGAAATAATATGGAATGTTTGATAATATAACTACCATTTTAGTGTTTTATTTGAATTATTTGATATATATATATATGAGGTAAATGGGCCTTCATGGGGCTTTGATAGGATTTATCAATCATCCTATCATCCTCAAGTAGCACCATATCTCATATCCTTGGGTAATCAAACATGAATGGAGGTTTCTAGCTGCGAACATTGGGGGGTTACTTGGAGGGTGAGTTTCATAGTAAGTTCACCCATTTACAAATTCTATGTATAGAAGTGTGTGCTAAGCAGTGTGAAAGACAGGTGGGGAGCACTTTTATATATCAAACCCACAGCGATGTGACGTGAAATGATCTATCCGTTGCCAGCTTCCATCACAGGGAAACTTGCAAACAGGCTCACGATTTTTTTTTCAGATGTTGCGCTGCAAGAAATGAAAAGCAACATAGAGCATATACCAGTGGAGATGGCGATGGAGAGGAAGAGAGAGAGAGAGAGATAGAGCATATAATCATATAACTACAATAACATACAAACATATACAAACAAACACAATTTGGGTTTTAAGCCGTTTTTTTGGCGGGATATAAGCAATAATGAATAGAGCCATTTCACCCCAAAGATGACTGGGGATGTTTTCAGCTCAGCCTTGTCGGCGCATCCAGGTGCGATTTTCCAAGCGCATGGTGTGGGAGACGCCATTGCCGCCAAGACCGCATGTGGTGCGGTAGGGAAAGGGCACGGGGTTCCCAAGGATTGTCGTGTATGATCCGTGTCACCTGTATCACATCATAAAAATAGAATGTATATTTTTTGGGCATGGTTACGTAATGTTTGCCTTGTTCTTTTAATCTCAACATGTTGACGGTTGAAGCTCCCAAGTACGACTCTTTGGTACCTCAACAGTTTTGCAAACTGGAAAATCGCTGAGCATCACCATTTTTAGTCCACAAAATCTTCATTTTCAGCATGAAACTTAATGTGGCATCCGAACTACCATAGCTTTGTAACAAATAACCACAGGGTACGTATGGGTACATCAAGATAGAACATCATCTCCATGATGTAATCTTTGCTTTCCAACCTTCTGAGGATTCCGATGTGGATTGATGTGGGTATAACAAAAATAAACCATCCCCCAAATCACCATAATAGGAGGTATAAACCATTCACACATGGGTGGTTTATGGCTTTGTTTTATCTACATTGTATAGTTTTTGGTGAAATTAAGAAACGTTACCCTTCCCGTCCATTTCCTCTCCATTTCCCCCAAACCTTCGATTTATTTTGTTTCAGCTCAGGAATTTGACTCTGGTGGCGCTGGCCTTTTTTTGCCACGTCATGTGGATTGTGAGCGATCAACGTACAGAGGACGAGATGCGTCGAGCTCGGATGAGCATTTTTGGGGAATGCTGTCCAAAAAGTGGAGAGTTATTGTTATCAACGGTTTTGATGTATATATATATATATATATTTATACACATGTATATATAATATATATATATATGTATTTATTTATTTACATGTGCACACATGTACATACCCCGATTTAACCTTGTGATCATCATTGCCATTCGATGCCATCATCATCATCATCATCATCATCATCATCATCATTCGTGTATCATTTCTTCTCACTTGGGGGTTGGGGAAGTACATCCCTTTGGTCAGGAAAATGTGCTTGGAGGCTTTGACGATCCCCCAGCCCCTTGGCGTTGGATCCCTTGGTGGAGTGCACTGCGGGAAGCCTGATCAACCGGTAGGTTTTTCCCCACCTGCCAGGTGAGGGTTGTTAGATTTTATGTCAGTTGCCTCCTCCTGCCTCCTGCCTCCTGCCTCCTGCCTCCTGCCTCCTGCCTCGTCCTCCTCCTCCTCCTCCTCTCCTCCTCGTCCTCCTCGTCCTCCTTGTCATCCTTGTCGTCCTTGTCGTCCTCGTCGTCCTCGTCGTCTGCGTCGTCGCGATCCACAGTGTTCTCTGCCGGACCTCAACCACGCCATCCACGCCCAGTGTTCCCTGCCGGACCTCAACCACGACCATCCACGACCATCCACGCCCATGTTCCCTGCCGGACCTCAACCACGACCATCCACGCCCAGTGTTCCCTGCCGGACCTCAACCGCGAGTATCCCCGCCCAGTGTTCCCTGCCGGACCTCAACCGCGAGTATCCACGCCAAGTGTTCCCTGCCGGACCTCATGTAGGAAGATATGGGACAAAGAATGTGCAGAAGAAAGTTAGAAAGAATGTCAGAAAGAATGTCAGAAGATATGCCAGATATGCCAGATGCCAGAAGATGCCATGTATGCCAGATAGAATGCCATATGCCAGAAGCCAGAAGATATGCCAGATAGAATGCCAGATAATATGCCAGAAGATATGCCAGATAGAATGCCAGATAGAATGCCAGAAGATATGAATGCCAGAAAATATGCCAGAAGATATGCCAGATAGATATGTCAGAATATGCCAGAAGATATGCCAGAAGATATATATCAGATAGAATGCCAGAAGATATGTCAGAATATATGCCAGAAGATATGCCAGATAGAATGCCAGATTGAATGCCAGAAGATATGTCAGATAGAGTGCCGGAAGATATGCCAGATAGAATGCCAGAAGATTTGCCAGATAGAATGCCAGAAGATATGCCAGATCATATGCCAGAAGATATGCCAGATAGAATTCCAAATAGAATGTCAGAAGATATGTCAGATAGAATGCCAGAAGATTTGCCAGTAAGAAAATGTATATATGTCATGGTGGGGATCACACGAAGTAAAGTAATTTTTTTAAATACATTACAGAAAACTATATACATATATAATTATAATTATATATGTATATACATATACAAATATATGGAGAGAGACATACACATACACGCTTATAAAATCTTATAATTTGAAAATATATAGTTACTTGTTGTTAATTGAACGAAGGTAATTTTCAAGGTCTGAAGAATCTGCACAAAAAAGTATGAACTGAAGAAATTGCACCGCTAAAAATGAGTATGGACCCTGTAAACTGGCTGGTTGGTGGTTGATAAACCCAGGGGGTCCTGCAACATGTGCCTTAAACATCTTAAACCAGTTCTAGGACTGCATTGCTGTGGATTTGTCGTATACCTTGCTGAGTTTTTTTAGTGCGGTTCACTTGCCTTCCAAGGAGGTGATATTTGCAGTTGTTTGCATGACATCGCTGACGCCAGGGCTGCAAGAACTGTTGGTGGTAAGTTGTTTACATTTGGTCGGGTCTTACAGATTTAACCCCCGGAAAAGGTGAACCCCCCAAGAGGATCAGCTATCATTTGAGGGATTACCTTAGGGGGGTTGGATTCCCAGTGAGTGGTTGGTGAAGGGTTTGTTGTTTGTTTTCTCCCACTATCGCCCAGGAGATGAAGCAACTTGTTTGTTTTGGACCAGGTTTTTGTTCTTTGGTGGTATTTCTACTGTACCTGCTGGGCAATGGCAGTTGTATTCCTATGTTCACAAGGGTTGTTATATATATATATATGTGTGTACGTGTATATGTTGTAGTCTACATGGCTAGCTGGGAAACCCCCGAACCATATGGGGACTTGAGCAGGAAAATAGCAGACGATAATCCAAAAAAGGTCGCTTCACCATCGATGCCGCTCGTATCGCCGAGGGAGCGACACCAGGTTCCAAGCCACAATACCCCAGACTTTTACATCATTTTGGAGCATAGTAACCTAGTAGTAACCCCCAAAGTGATCCAAAAAGTCAAATCCTACTTAAAAATGCAACATTGAGCTGATGCACCACTCAGTTTAGACCAGCCTAAGGACCAACTGCGCCCGCTTCGGTTCCCTGCTCTCCTTAGTGGAGGCCCCTTCCGCTGAGTTTCGCCTTGGGATCAAAAATCAACAGATGCTCATTAAATTCGATTTGCTGCATCAACCATCAGCCAACCATCAACCATCATTATAGCATCAACAATCATTATGAACCATCAATCCGTTATAATTATGGTTCATGGATTACAATATTATTTGGTTGGTGGTTTGGAGCATTTTTTATTTTCCATGTCATATATGGGATAATCCTTCTCATTGACTTTCATATTCTTCAGATGGTTGAAACCACCACCCAGTCATTTAATTCTATGTGCTGCCAATTCAAGATGGCCATGGAACAATGATCCTTCATCTTTAACCATTCATAGTTTTCGGACTACACGTCACGCTTTTAATCTGTTAAAATGTATCCTCACACCTATTCGACATTACTACTATAATCAGGCTTCATATATTTGCCAGAGGGAAATCGCCATATTCTTTCATGAAATCCCAATTTATGTCCATATTTAATTACCATTGTCCAATCGCCACTATGATACAACCAGTACTAAACCACACATCTATCAACCTGCAAAATTCACCACGTCCAAGCCAAAGAGCTGGCCTTTTTCAACTGAGCAGTGGCGTACAATATCACCCCTGCTGGTTGATTATGGTCATTTGATAATATGATATGACATGCTGATAGGGTTTTTAACCATCAACATGACCAGAGATGTCAAGTGGATAAAAAACTGATAAATGGATCAATGATGGTTGGTTGATGATTAGATATGATTCGATGGGAACATCATAATCCATGAGCTGGGAAATCTTATTAACCAACCTGTATAGAGGGAAGATGCTGCGGGTTTTGAACGCTGCTCAATTTCCTCATTTGTCCATGTCTTTGGCTGGGCGTTCCTCACCGTTAAGCCTCCACGCTATGGATATTGTTTAGCACAACACCTTCAAACAACGTTGGACAAAAAATCATTTTTTTTAAAAAAACTTTGGAACAATCTTTGACAGAACAATTTACAAAAATCTTCAAAGCCATCCAAAAACAGAGAACACGACAATCTTCCACACCAAACAAACTTCAAGATCATGGCAAAAAACATGCAAGCATCCTTCAATATAATGAATTTCCAAGTTCTCTATGCCTTTTAAATCACATTATATAAATCTCATGAAATCACAAACCCCATCAAATCCCTATCAATTCCCATTTTAAAACACCATGAAATCCCTGTGAAACTCCATGAAACCCCATTAAATCACCATAAAAGCACCATTAAATCCCTATCAACCCCCATTAGATATATTAGATTCCCATTCATATTAAACCACTAAATCCCTATCAACCCCCATTAGATATATTAGATTCCCATTCATATTAAACCACTAAATCCCTATCAACCCCCATGAAATTCCATGAAATTCCCATTAAAACTCCCATGACCCCCCCATGGTTCCCAGCCATTAACGCATTTCGAGGTCTCCGAGGAGTCGACGACGGCGCAGCTGCGACGCACCATGACCACCTTGGTGCGCACGGGCTCCGCCGCCTCGAAGCAGAGCTCCATGCGCCGCGGCATTTTTCAAATCATGAAATGAAGCACCATTATGATAATCATGGTTCATTCATTTTTGATGAACTTGATAATGATGGTTAATGATGGTTAATGACGATTTAGTATGGGATAGTGATGGTTAATGATGGTTCATATATGGTTAATCTATGGTTAATAGATGTTTTTTACTATCTGGCTGGTGGTGACTGGAACATTGATTTAGTATGGGATAATGATGTTTAATGATGGTTAATAATGGTTAATAATGGTTAATAATCACTGGCTGGTGGTGACTGGAACCATGGAATTTTATGACTTTCCATTCAGTTGGGAAATCCATTTGATGACATAACTGACTAATATTTATGATAATCATGGTGAAAAATATGATGAACTTGATAACATTTGATAACTATCATTATAAAATCATGGTTCATCATAGTTATACCATGTTATACCATCCATCCATCCGTTATAATTATGCTTCATGTATTATAATAAACATGATGGTATACCATCAATCAAGTTCATCATATTTATACCATATTATACCATCAGCATCCATCAGCCATCGTTATGGATTATCATGTTTAATATTGACATTATGGTTAATGATGATAAATCATGACTGATGTATCCCATTAAGGAATCATTGTTGTGTTTTTTCTGGAAGAATGGGATTGTTAACACCATCAACCATCATGACGATTGATGATTAATGATGAGTAATGGTTCATAATCATGATTTTAATTATAGATTTTTGGGGGAAATGTACCATTAACAATTAGGGATTCGGTATGATTTAATGGGATGTTTGATGGGAATATTGTATGATACCCCCCACTTCTAGATGGGATAATCCAGGAATCTGAGACTAACCAAGGTTATTAAACACCAATAATGCTTATTGATGTTAATAGTGTTAATAACCTTGGTTAATGGGATTCAATAACCTATGTTAATGGTGTACTAATCTGAGATTATACTGGTTAGTGATGGTTTTCATGGGATTTAGCAATCAACACTACAAAAAACATGGGGATTTGTTTCACTACACAGAACTGGATATAACATGAAACATAACGGCAAAGGGTGTATATATATATACTGTATATATATATATATCCTTCGGCAATCCACGTTTGATTCCCTGAGGATATCTCTGTGACATGGAAGGGGCATCCCAATTTATCAATTTCATAAGGAAGTATGGGCTAGTTATGGGATATTTCTTGGTTATGAGATAGTCATGGGATAGTTGTGGGTAATAATGCTTGTGTAAATTGGTACAGGTATTGTAAACTCTGTTTCAATGGGGCGCCCCAATTTTGAGAAACACTCTATCGATACAATTTAAACAGGAGCTGTTTCATCCGTTGCTAGGTAACAACAGGTTTATGGTTGAGACATTCAGGATGATAGTTGCATTTGGATGGTAATTCGCTGGGTTCGATGGTGATGACTTTGGGAATTTCCAGTATACCAAGTTTGACCATGGGATGGCATTCCCCACAAATTCTGATGATAGTGATGATAAATCTGTTTTTTTCCTGCATATTTTCCCGCAAATCACCAAGGAGCTTCATGGAGAGCTGGCAGACGGGGCACAAAGAGCCTTGGAGGGCCATGAAGGAGATGATTATATAATTGTTATTAGTTAATAAGGATGATTAATGGTTCATCGTTAATAATGATTTATAATGGTTAATGGTTTATAATGGATGTCTGCAGCAAGAACAAGCTGGTTTTGACCCATAGCAGGATGTCACTGGATATGCACTTTCACCACTGGTCTAAGAATCTGGAATTAGCAGTGCCCATGGACCAGATACCGTTATATTGATCCAGAAGCTGGAGAGAAATCTGGCTGTTCGTGGCCAATATCTTCAATATACATATGAATATCTATACGAGTTTTGAAACTTTTGCTCCAAACATGACCCATCCTCGGTTTTGGTCAATATTTGGATAGACAGAAACCATTGTTTGGATTCTATGTTCAATTTCACGCATCTAGATCCCCACATGTGTTGATTGAATACCATTCCATGGCTCCCGGTTGAATCTACATTTTGCTGATGGATTCCCTGTATGTACCTATGTATTTGCACATTATAAGTACGTAGCTATTTTGAGTTGTTGAATCTCCCAATTTGCAACATATTTGTTAGTTCATTACAGTATATTACAGTGAATTCAATCAATTCCTACCTTGAGTCCTGCAAATGTTCATCATATTTTGACTGGCTACCTTCCGGGAATCAACAATGGATAAAGAGCCATTTCTCAATGTTCACAGCAAGACATCCACATTGACTTCGGGGATATGGGAATTACCCAGCCATGTTTCCCGGTTTAAGATCGAACCTGCAGGAACCAAAGAATTTCTGGCCCAGAACCCCTGGATTTCCATTTGATTTTTGGCCCTTTAATAGTTAATTATAAGTCACTTGTAACCGCATTTATGGATTGACAAATCCCATATTAATAGCCATAGTAAGTTACAAGTCAGTTCTTATCCCATGTATGGAATATGATAAACCATGATAAAACCATCTATGAATCATGATAAAACCAAACATGATAACCATGATAAAGATGGTAGAAACCCGTGATAAACCATGATAAAACAATGATAAACTATGATTAAGAGGTTATCAACCCATGATAAACCATGATAAAACCATGATAAACCATGATAAAACCATGACAAACCATGACTAAGAGGGTATAAACCCATGATAAACTATGATAAAACCATGATAAACAATGATAAATATGGTATAAACCCATGATAAACCATGAATCCATGATAAAGATTGTATAAATCCATGATAAAACATCATAAAACCATAATAAAACCATGATAAAACCATTATAAACCATGATTAAGAGGGTATAAAACCATGATAAACCATGATAAAGAGGGTATAAACCCATGATAAACTATGATAACACCATGATAAACTATGATAAAGATGGTATAAACCCATGATAAGCCATGATTAAGAGGGTATCAACCCATGATAAACTATGATAAAGAGGGTATAAACCCATGATAAACTATGATAAAGAGGGTATAAACCCATGATAAACTATGATAAAGAGGGTATAAACCCATGATAAACTATGATTAAACCATGATAAACCATGATAAAACCATGACAAACCATGACTAAGAGGGTATAAACCCATGATAAACTATGATAAAACCATGATAAACAATGATAAATATGGTATAAACCCATGATAAACCATGAATCCATGATAAAGATTGTATAAATCCATGATAAAAACATCATAAAACCATGATAAAACCATGATAAAACCATGATAAACCATGATTAAGAGGGTATAAAACCATGATAAACCATGATAAAGAGGGTATAAACCTATAAAACCATGATAAACCATGATTAAGAGGGTATCAACCCATGATAAACTATGATAAAGAGGGTATAAACCCATGATAAACTATGATAAAGATGGTATAAACCCATGATAAACCATGATAAAGAGGGTATAAAACCATGATAAACTATGATAAAGAGGGTATAAACCCATGATAAACTATGATAAAGAGGGTATAAACCCATGATAAACTATGATAAAGAGGGTATAAACCCATGATAAACTATGATTAAACCATGATAAACCCATATAAACCCTATAGAAAACCATCAAAAATCACTGCTTCGGTCGAGAAAACTGCAAGGAATGGGACGAGAAGACCTTGGACCTCGCCAACCGGGCCATCAGTAGCTAAGCGCAATGGGAAGTGGTTCCGACGTGTGTTTGGTATATACCCTCTGGTAATTTAACATAGCTATGGAGAATCACCATTTTTAATGGGTAAATCCACTATAAATGGCCATTTTCAATATATAGCTATGTTAGTTTACCAGAGGGTACCCAACTTAATAATTACCCTACAGTTATTTAACATCGCCATGGGAAATATGGCCCATAGAAACAGATGGTTTACATTGGTTTACCGAACTGAAAAATGGTGGGATCTTTCCATGGCGAACTGTTAGTCATAACCAGATGGTAAGGCCTATTAATAAGGGTCTGGTAATAGTTGGGATTGTTTGAGCATGTGGCAACTCCTAAGATCCAATCTGGTTGGGAATGTCATAACCCCAACTGACGGACTCATATTTTTCAGAGGGGTAGGGCTCAACCACCAACAAGAATATAGAAGGCCTATATAAGGCCTAAGGGAATATCCCCACAAAATATGGTCTTATATGGTACAGTATCTCCATTTTAGGATCCTTAAATTCCAATTGAATGGTTCTATGAGTTCTTAATAGTATCAGTTGTGTTAGATTGTGTTAGTTATACATATGAGAACAAATAGTTACATAGATGTTGTTAGGTGTATCAGTTACATTAGCAATATGAGTTTTTGAATTTATAACAGTTATATTATATTTGCTGTATTACTTTTTTCAGTCATTTTATTTCTATATATCACTTACCTACCCTCTTGTAACATACACCAGTTGGTTCGATGTTGTTCCCATTAGAGGATGTTCAAATTCCGTCTTTGGTTAGCAGAGGGAAAGCATGGGGATATAACAAGGAAGGGGTATAACATAGCAGAGAGTTTCAAAACACATGGTGATTTAAGACCTTTTTTTTTTAATGGCGCATGTAGAACATGATGATTTACGCAATGAACATGGGGATTTTCCACAACTCGGAAACGTGTTGAGTAGTATCCCAATCAAATGATATATCATGATATATCACATATAATTCATATAAAGCTTATTTAGTCCCATATAACCTCTAGTAATTATATCCCATTGTATCCCACTATTTTAAGCCAGTGTATCTATGGAATTACACATATCACCATATATCTATGGAATATCACTGTAGAAATCTACGGATTTGTGTGGTTCCATATATACATATCCATATTAGTGTATAATTACAATAAATTTGTGTACCATACCAAATCGGCGTTGAGCCGATTTGGGGCCAAACGACTGCATATGACTGAGCGAAGTGAAAATTGCTACAGGTCAAATTCATGGGTAATTCTCACCTAGTCATGAGGGTATGCACTGGAAAAGACATGCCAATAAAAACAAGGTTGTGCAGCCTCCCATCCCAGCAAAACCTCTCTTCCTCACGGTGGGTGAGAGCTGGCATTTATCAGTCCTCAAAATGCAAAACAGGTCATCACCACAACACACGCCTCATTCAAAAAACGTAAAAAGGGTGGTTTCAATAAACTTCAACAGTAATGGAAAATCGAACCCAGTATGGATTTTGTTTACTTATCATGAACCCCCAGTATGGCTTACATCTTTCAAAACCAAACGGCAGTTGCCGCGGCGAGTTCTGTAAAGGTCTCCGAGCCCTGCTGGAGTTCTACGGTACTCTCGGTGGCGACCCTTGGGACTCCAACCTGAGAGACATCAAGACTTGCCAAGAAGAGTATCAAGAGATGATCTTAATATGATATCATGATATATATATATTATGTATAATCATGTACGTATATATTTATAATTATTTATATACATACATGCATACATACTATAACTAATGATCAATAATGGTTCACTTCCGGCTAATTGACGCATTTCTGGCTCATTGACACATGACGCAGGAAGGGATAGCACGGGATAGCTCAACGATAGTGACGAGATGGCATCGCCGCATCCCAAATTCTCACCGACTGAGGAGCGCATGCCTCATTTCGATCCAGCCAAACATACCACCCAAGATGTGGTCCGACAGGCCCGGAGTCAACGCTAGGGATTCCTTGTGACTGGCTTGTGGCCTAGCTAACCATTGTAACTAGGAAAATTATTGTGATAAATTGGAAGTGGGGTTACCCTACTTTCAGGCGGGGTTTTCATAACGCATTGGTCCAGTGTTGGGGCCACTCCTCTTAGGAGAGCTAAGGATAGCCCCTTTTCCCGTCAAACACCCTCCAGAAACCATGGTTTAGGAGGAATCTGTTCATATTTGGGATCAGACTCTATCATACAATGGGGTTTGCTTATGGTTGTTGTTCCCGAATGCGTAGCAAGGGTTCCCGTTTCACTCTGGGGGTCTGGGGGCTGAGGGTGTGTTCGCTCGACGTTGCGTTTGTGGTCGCAACCGTTCGCAACCGTCCGCAACCGTTCGCAACCGTTCGCAACCGTTCGCGTCGCGCGATCCCCGTATGGCCGTGCCTATGGGAAGTTTTACAGAGGTGGTCCTTTTTGGAGGTTTCAGACGTGTCGTTGCTTCGTTTCGCGTGGCAGGCGTGGCACTTCGTGACATTCAGACGTGTTGTGCAACGTGTTGAAAATCGTTTCGCGTGGCAGGCGCAATACTTTTGCGACGTTTTCAGAAGATGTGTTGCAGTTTTCGTGGCAGGCGCAGCACTTTGGACGTGTCCATCGTCATTTTTCGTGGCAGGCGCAGCACTTTAGACGTGTCCTTTTGCGTGTTTTTTGTAAATCGCATTGGCAGGGCTGCGTCAAGTGGTGACAAGGTGCAAATTCCGCGGCAGGCGTGGCATTTTCTCACATGTGTTGAAAATTGACGGAAGCCTCGCACGAAACATCGATTTTGATGTTACAAATTTTCAGGTTCTAAGGAAAACTCGTAGGAAAACGTCGATTTTGGAGCTGCAAAGTATGAAAATTGGAGGAAGTCTCGCACGAAATGGTCGTTTTGGTGCTCCCACCTGTCTCGTCTCGAGTCTCTGGTTTTCCTGTGGCCTCGCCGTGTCTATGGGGGAAGCTGCAAAACTTGTCCTTTTGTCACGTTGCCAACTGTGAAAATTGGAGGAAGTTTCGTACGAAATGCTGGTTTTTCTGCATTCACGTGTCTTGTGTCGAGTCGCTGGTTTTCCTGTGGCGTCGCCGTGTCTATGGGGGAAGCTGGAAAACCTCTCCGATTCGAATGTGTCCAAGCAGGTTGTCATGTCGTTTTGCGTGGCAGGCGTGGCACTTTGTGACATTCCAAGCTGTTTGATAACGTGCTGAAAATGACAAAATTGGAGGAAGTCTCGCACGAAATGCTCGTTTTTCTGCATCCATCCGTCTCGTCTCGAGTCTCTGGTTTTTCCTGAGGCGTCGCCGTGTCTATGGGGGAAGCCGCAAAATCTATCCTTTTCGAAGGTTTCCAAGCAGGTTGTCATGTCGTTTTGCGTGGCAGGCGTGGCACTTTCCTCACTCCACACTCCACACTTTACACTCCTCACTTTACACTCCACACTCCACACTCTGCACTTTCCACTCCAGACTCCACACTCTACACTTTACGCTCCACACTCCACACTTTACACTCCTCACTCCACACTTTACACTCCACACTCCACACTTTACACTCCTCACTCCACACCCCATGCTTTACACTCCTCACTCCGCACTTTACACTCCACACTTCACACTCCACACTTTCCACTCAACACTCCACACCCCACATTTTACACTCCACACTCCACACTTTACACTCCTCACTCCACACTTTACACTCCACACTCCACACTTTACACTCCTCACACACTTTACACTCCTCACTCCACACTTTACACTCCACACTCTACACTCCACACTCTACACACCACACTCTACACTTTCCACTCCAGACTCCGCACTCTACACTTTACGCTCCACACTCCACACTTTACGCTCCACACTCCACACTTTACACTCCACACTCCACACTTTACACTCCACACTCCACACTTTACACTCCTCACTCCACACTCCACACTTTACACTCCTCACTCCACACTTTACACTCCACACTTCACACTCCACACTTTCCACTCAACACTCCACACTCCACACTTTACACTCCACACTCCACACTTTACACTCCTCACTCCACACTTTACACTCCACACTTTACACTCCACACTCTACACTTTACACTCCACACTTTCCACTCCACACTCCACACTCACTCACTTTACAGTCTACACTATACACTCTGCACTCCACACTTTACACTTTACACTCCACGCTTTCCACTTCCACTTTACACTCCTCCACACTCACTCCACACTTTACACTCCACACTCCACACTTTACACTCCTCACTCCACACTTTACACTCCACACTTTACACTCCACTCCACACTTTTACACTTTACACTCCACACTCCACACTCTACACACCACACTCTACACTTTCCATACTCCACTCCTCACTCCACACTTTACACTCCTCACTTTACACTCTACACTTTACACTCCACACTCCACACTTTACACTTTACACTCCTCACTCCACACTCTACACTCCGCACTCTACACTTTACACTCCATACTCCACACTCTACACTTTACACTCCACACTTTGCACTTTACATTCCTCACTCCACACTCTACACTCTACACTCCACACTCCACACTCTACACTCCACACTCTACACTTTACACTCCATACTCCACACTCTACAATTTACACTCCGCATTCTACACTTTACACACTCTACACTCCCCACTCCACACTTTACACTCCACACTCCTTACTTCACACTCCCTACTCCACACTCTACACTCCACACTCTACACTTTACACTCCATACTCCACACTCTACAATTTACACTCCGCATTCTACACTTTACACACTCTACACTCCCCACTCCACACTTTACACTCCACACTCCTTGCTTCACACTCCCTACTCCACACTCTACACTCCACACTCCACATTTTACACTCCATGCTCCACACTCTACAATTTACACTCCGCATTCTACACTTTACACACTCTACACTCCCCACTCCACACTTTACACTCCACACTCCTACTTCACACTCCACACTCCACACTCTACACTCTACACTTTCCACTCCACACTGCAGACTGGTAACAAGGGAAACATGTACAAGACTGTTCAAATAAACTATTGCAGAAAGGTATTGTGCGTCACTGCATAACCATGTGTTTTGACATCTGTACCATTAACATACGTGTGAGCATTCGGGTTCGTGGGCTTCATCTTGTTTTTTCCAGCTTTAAAGCTCAACTATGAATCTGGGGATGTTCCAGATTGCCATGTGTGATGACACGAGAGGCTATCCATTAATCCATGAATCTGTTGGTTATCCATGATATATACTGTACTTGTAGATTCATGATCTATACCGAAGGGTAGATGGATAAGAATCCCCATGGTTGATTCTTGAATTACCATGAAATCCCAACCCTCGTTTATACAAATCCCATGGGATCTGACTATGTGACCAATGGCGGTGAAAAAGGCGTCGCAGGAAAAAAAAAAAAAACATGAAATCATATAAATCACCATTTAAAACCCGATGAAATCATTCATAGTCACCATTTTCAATCCCCGCCAAAAACAAACAACACATTAAATACCTTTAAATCACCCTGAAAAAACACCATGGAACTTCCCGCCATTTCACCAAGGCGATTATCCCGTTATCCTGTGGCAGTTCTCACGGAGATTGTGCAGCTGCTATGGTGCTAATGGGCTCTGCCTGCCTGCCGGACCGCATGGTGACCCATAGCTGGTCCAACCTGTGGCTTGGTCGATGGGGAGATTGGGGATGGGGGATGAACATTAAGAATTGAACTATGGAGAGAACATTCTGCGTTGAACTTAACACCGGAAAAAACATGTTCTGAAGTTCTACCGGTTTCAAAATGTTGAACGTTCTTAAACTATTGTTTTGTGGAAAATGCTGACACTAAGACTGGCAATTGAACGTTCAGATTAAACCTTCAACATTGAAATGACACATAATATTCAACATGTACTATTGGTGTTTATTAACATTCAGCAGCATCATCATCATCACCATCATCATCATCACGGTAGATTCATGATGGCACTATTGTTTTACATTTGTTTTACCAATGCACGTTTGTATGTAGGTAGAATCACAGGCTGACACAACACGGGTATGGGCAAACTCAAAGACTTGGGGTATCGCAGAGTTTGGGTAATATTGTTCATTATTGTTAACATATTTCCACTCTTGTATTGCCTTCTTTTTGTGTGGGTATTCGGTTTGGATCATGTCCATTTTTGCAGATCTGGGTCTGACCTGTTGATCCGTCCTTGGCGTGTCCATTTGCAGATGAGAAATGTCACTGAAGAATTGGGATTCTTTGCCATGTTTGACTACGTACCGAAATGATTTCATCATGTTTATGGTGAAAAACCGATTGGTTAGATTGAATCCGTATACCCTCTGGCAAACTAACATAGCTATTGAACATGGCCATTTATAGTGGATTTTCCCATTAAAAATGGTGATTTTCCATAGCTATGTTAATTTACCAGAGGGTATCCTCCGCTGTTTCGAAGGTTTCAATCCGTATATGTTCGGTCCTTAAAACGTGAAGCCGCCTCGCGCCGAGGTTTTCATGTTTGGTGGCCGCTGTGGTGGCCGATGCCCTAGATCAACCCAGCTATGACACCTGGATCTGGTGAGGTCATGGGGGTGTAGCTTATACCTCTGGTAATGCTGGATGGTTTATTTCATGGAACCTAAAGTGGATGATAACTGGGGGTAGCCGAATTTTTGGAAACCACTATATATATATATCATATATCATATAGTAGGTATAAATCATGAAAGTATATTGGTGATATTAGCCTGTTGATTTGTGATATTAGATCTAAATCATCAAAATATTGGTAACCTGTTAATTTATATATGTTAATTTAACAGTTTGTTATGAACAATCTTCTATATTTGCTAGCAAAATCACGAGTTGTTCATCGAACTAAATGGGCCATGTTCATCCATGTTCCATAGCTATATTGCATAACCGGGGGTATATACTGTAGACATTTTAGATATAATCATAATTCATGGTAATGTCAGATTAGTCTAGATTAGATTGGAGCAGAGTAGAGTAGATCAGATAGACAGATAATTAGAGAGGTAATTAGATATATACCCTGGATTTGTCTAGGAGATTTCATGGGATTTAATGGGGATGTAATATAGGTATAAACCATCAATATAATCGGATATTAATCCGCATGCTATCCATCTATCTCTATATGAATTGTGATGAACTCATCTTACCACTCCGTGACGTCACTGGATGACATGAGCCTGTGGATGACATGGGTGTTATGGTGACCTCTCCTCTAGGACATGGTAAAGATTGTGATATGGTTACTGGAGTATATGATAGCATGATGTTGATACATAAGTTAAGTTGACTTTAACTTTGATATCTTAGATATTGTTATAGACACAGTATTTCCGGCAAACATACTATGATTGTGAATTTGTTGATGGATGATTATCCCACGTGTTTGTTTTGATTTCCTTGAACGACTATTACATGTTAAAATGATAGTGGTATTAGTAAAACAAACTTCTATATATTTCTTATAGGTATTATTAATATGTTTTTTTTCCGGGTTTCCTCGGGTACAACATGGGTGAATGTTTCCGAGGATTATCCCATGTTACTTCGCATCTTTTCCCATGCATCATGTAAAATAAGGAGAGGGTGAAGGGGATTATGCCCAAAAACGACGTACTTCTAATGACAATAAAGAGGGCATGCTTGATGGCTCCAAATCAGAACACATATGATGAACATATAACATATGTTGATGGTAAACCTGAACAACAGAACAGGTTAGCATAAGCATTGTTTCTTGCAAAATTGTTTGCGGCAAGTTTGCTCGTCAACTAACACAGAGACAAAAAAAAGGTCAGAAATATGAAGGGCGGTTCTTTATCACTGTTTGGCTCTCACATTTCACACTGATTTTGATGGGACACAAAAAAGAAACATGGTTTCCTGTAGGTGTTGCAACAAATCCCGTGAATGTGCATCCCAGTTAATCAGTAGTTTATTCATACTCCCTAATAAGACCTCGCATTTGTCCCATACATGTGTATAGATATATTTTGGTTATCGTATGGTTGTGACCCATTCATCCCAGAATTGGACGAAATGCAAGTCAGTTCTCCTGCACATTTTCCAGCAATGAACGTACCCTCCTGTAGTCAAACATAGCTGTTTAATCAAACATCAGGAACTCAGGAACAACATATTTTTTACCAGGTAAATCCACGTAAATCATCTATAACAATCTGTAAATGATGGTGGCACATCCCAAAGATAGATGGTGAATGGCCCATTTAGCAAGAACATCTGTCAAACATCAGGAACCTCAGAAAATTTACTAGGTAAATCATCTATATTTTTTAATATCCATAAATGGAGGTTTCCTCAAATGGTGGTACCCCAAATCATCCAAGTCATGGATGACCATTTCAGTATTGAAACCTTGTGACTTGGGTATCCCTGACTTAAAAAAAAAACCTCCAACCATCAACCATCATCATCACCTTTTTAAAACCATTCACCATTCTTAATCCCATCCCATTCATCCCATTCATCCCATGATTCTTTCCCCATCATTGAACATTTTCCCAGGCATCGACAAATCCCATGGAAAATCCCATGGATTTTCTTCAAAATTCCCATGGTTTATTGGTGAAAAATCACCGCCTCCAAGGAGAAGGTCTTGAGGGACCAGCGCTTGGCTCAGAGCGAGCTGCCGGCGCTCAGAGCGGAGCTCTATTGGAAGAAGAAGTTGGACACCAAGCGCCTCGATGCCATGGGTCTATGGGATGGTGGTTGAATCAGTTGAACCCTGGTTTTCCCAATAAAACATCCATGGAAAGGCCGTTTTTGTCCAGGAAATCCATGGAAAAATGGTGAAAAAACTGGCTTAGCCCCAAGAAAATCGGAAGAATGATGGAAAATACCTGGTTTGCCCCAACAAAATCCAATGGAAGAATGGTGGAACAAATCTGGCTCTTCTGAGAAGAAAAACACAGAAAAGCTTCTGAAGAAAATTGGTGAAGAATCCCATGGACAAATGGTGCTTGAACCGGATTTTTCTGAAAATATGGGTGGTGGAACCAGATTTCGCAAATGCCAGTGGTTTCACCAGAAGATTCATGGTTGTTGAAAATGATTGAGACATATTGAGACCACCAAGCGGTTAACATATTCATACATATATTTGTTTTCCGGAGGGTGGAGTAACTAAAGGATGGGTTTACTCAAAAGACCCTTTGGGTTTTCGGAGGATTTGGAATTTCCAAAAAAAGCGGAATTGGAATGCTGTATTCCAGGCGTTCCCCCATGATATCCCAGAACCACAGGTGTTTTTTTCCATGAGAAATGAGGATTTCATATTGCAAATTGTTGGTGTACCAGAAGACCAGCGAGTAAAAAGTGCGGTGGACTAGCAACCTCAAAAGTTCAATTTTCAGTGAAATCCCATTGAAACATATTGAAAACAATTGGTTGGCCATTGAAATATGTTGAAATCCAGCGACTTTCGTGGTGACCTGGTGAATTCTGAATAAATCCTTCGCCACTCGGCGTTTTGTACGTCTGACTTGTTCCAGCTCAACCGGCCCCTGTCGGTGCTGAGGTACTGGATTTGTTGCTTCGCAGTGAATCAGTGTCCCGGAAGCGGTTCTCTTGGGAATAGCATGTTTCTGTCAGCTACAGTTGGTTCTTTCATTAATATACATACTGTTACATATACATTATGTTTACGCAATTACTGATATTGTGATACATTGTATGCAACACAACATGTTCCCTATGTCGTGATGATAATAGATGTTCCCAATGTTGTGAAACAAGCATTCATGCGTGTATTCGTTCCTTTGGCTATTTGAAATCCTGCACAGATAATCAGATATAGACACATACGACTCATGCCATGTCATGTCCTTAGTTCCGCAGATTGCCACATGGATGAAGAAACATACAGTAACTGTAGAATTATGCCTGCCCTGGATAAACGATACATTTTCCTTGTCTTAACAATATCAAAACAAAAACAATCTTTGTTTGGCATATAGGTGAGCATGATTCATGTTTTGCTTCAATCACAGCTAGCCCACAAAATGATTCTGGTTGAGGTATCCATTTTTTTCGATTCAAACTCTTGAGGTCAGACAAGAAATTTCAAGATCTTTCGGGCTCATCTAAGATCTTCATCATTCACCATGTTTTATGTTGAACTCCCTAGGTGCATGGCTATACAGTTGTGCCCGTATCTATTGGCTCTATCTTCATTATCCCAGAATTGTCCGAAATCATGTTTCTCAGGTTGTCCAACATCCATATCATCCCAACATCTTTCCTTCACCCCATTTAGAACCAAGAGTCAATGATCAATGGGTTAATGGGGGCAACGCATTTGAGCCGCAAATGCTGTCATCTCATCCCATCATCTCACCAACCTGAATTCGTTCATGGTTTCATCCCAATTCCTCCGCAGGTTCAGGAAATAAAGATCATCCAATATCATTCCCAGGTGCTGCTAGAATTTCCAAGTATTTGGATGGTTTGGATGGTGTCATCATGTTTCATCCCTGCGCTTTTCCGCCCAAAATGGCTTCCCGTCATTCCGTCATTCCGTCATCCCATGGTGAATTCCTAGGCTGTTGATGGCTAAAAACCATCGAATTCGCCTAGTCATAACATGATATGGGGCCCAACTTAGATCAACTTCAATTTTTTTGGGGCCCCACTTTGTCTCATCCCATCATCTCATCTCATTTGGTCATTTGGTTCCCCATGTTCATTGCTTAAATCGCATGAAATCCCCATGTTGACTGCTGAAGTCCCATGAAATCCCCATTTTCAATGGTGAAATCACATGAAATAACCTCATCCCCAAGGCACGCCGGCATTTGCAGCTCTACCCCGCGGATGGACCCGGTGACCCAGACCATCCCCAAGCCGTGCACGTGCTCGCACCCGACGCTAAACGTCCCGGCGGGGATGGTGGTCATTTCATACGTAAAAAACCGAGAAAAATGGACATTTTGCCACGAAAACATAGGTTTTTTTTTATGGTTTTTTGAAGAGGATTTGAGATTCAACCGAAACTTGGGAATACTTGGGATTGAACAAACAGCAATTGGGCTTTTACCAAGATTACCAAGAAAAATTGGGGTTTTAACAATGACACATTTAGATTTAGTTCGCAAACATGATGGCTCAATCAATGTCTTTTTGGGGGGACGGGGGTATATTTAATGGGGATATAGAGGGGTGTATCACCAACAACATGTGGAATAACTGTGAATATTGGGATGCTAAACTGTTTTCAATGGGCTATGTGATGAATACACAGATATATATATATATACACACGTTGAGGTTTAACCAACAACACTGGGGACTACAACAACCCCCAATAATCCCTCATGATCCATGAATCATGTCCATCTTTTATGATGTGCGTTAATGCTTGGTGACTTGATGGTAATTGGTTCGTTGGACCACCAGACTCGATTTTTTCCATATGTTTGTTCAAAAGTTCAAAAGTCAGAGATTTAGGGTGGTTTAAGCTGGTTCAACCAACAGAAAAAGAAAAAAACACAGACGGCCCTCCTAATTCATTCTTGGGAACTTCACATGGCATGGCGCTGTAAAACTGGATGATCAAGATGATCTCCTTCAAGTTCCAGGATTTTTTCATGTCATACTCTCCTGTAGACATCTGTAGGCTAACATAGATATTGAAATTCATGGGTTTCATTTATTAGGATGATCTACAAATGCTCGGTTTCCATATCTATGTTAATTTACTGCAGGGTAAGGGTCATGATGAACCTGGGACTAGTCCACTAACAATTGGCATACAGTTTGATAGAGAATATCGCTCAAAGGGGCTTACAGGCTCTTACGGGTGTATATCATGAAAGGCACACAAATTGTATTTTGTGTATGAATTGTTACGTGGTCCTCTTGTACTTTCCCATTTTGTTTGACAATTACAATTTCTCATCCTGTTGCTCTTGGTACGATTTTGCTGTGTACGATGGTCATAGATCCATAGACCATGAGTTCAATAGTCACCCAAGGGGATCAATAGCCATTTCAGGAACCTAAATGGATCTAAATGGGAGGTACCTACCATATATACATAAAGCCTATATAAGGCCTATGTAAGGGAATATCCCCACAAAATATGGTCTTATATGATCTTATATGGTACAGTACCTTTATTTTAGGATATTTTTGGATCCTGAAATTCTTATTGATCACCCAAGGGGATGGGAAGTGCTGAGGAAGTATTGGAGTGACACAGCACCCTTGAGGAATGGGTTCCTTGCCAATGGAACGAACCGGGTGGATCGATTTTTGTGGGTGCCTGACATATGCATTATACATATTATACATACGCATATATAACCACATATATATATATATATACACCCTCTGGTAATTTAACATAGCTATTGAAAATGTACCATTGTTGATTTACCTATTCAAAATGTTGATTTTCAATAGCTATGTTAATTTGCCAGAGGGTATATACCTAGAACAACTGAGGCAGCAATAATTATGTGTGGTGAAAAAATAACTTTTGGAGGGGCCAACCCTCAAACGGAGCTTTTTTGATGAGACGGAAGTTTTTGGATTTTGGATGGTTCCAGCAAATTGTGATGTTTTGAGTGGAATGGGATTCTGTCAATTCCACAGGTGTGGAGGAGACTTTCGCCGCATGAAGAACGCCGCACAACTCATGTGTCCACCTTGACAACCTCTACCGAAAAAGTGAGAAACTGAAACGACATAAATTCCCAACCAAACGGCGTAAATTTCCAACCAAACGGCGTGAATTATTTTGGTTGTTTTCAATGCATATTTGGACTTTGACATGCTACATATTTGCCAATGTTCTCCAGGGTGTGTGAATATCAGAAAAGTGCGAAAAATGCAAGAATGGCAGCTGACCCTGCAAGAATCCCGCCAAACAGTTGAAACGGAAGTTTTTGGCTGAGACGGCAGAAATTTCTGAAGCGAGAATAATTTCTTTAGCCTGGGCTGGCGGAAGAAATTTTACCCAGCCGGGAGGCCTATATAACATATGTTTAATTCAAAAAAGAAAAACATTAAAAACAACTAAGCCGGGAGTGTGGCGTCGCAGATTTGTCCGCATGGGAGGGCGCAGGCAATATGTGCGTGTATAAGCATAAGGTATACACATGTTTCCACATCATACATCATGCTAGTACAGATTTAGGAGTTGTTGGTAAGTGTAGGGGCGAGGTTGGCCCTGCATGTCAGTGGATTCGCTATGGAAGGGCATCAGATGGATGGGCATCAGAAATTATAGTTTTCCCAGTAACACCTGCATTTGCGGCATGTTCTCATGTTCTAGTGTAGACACCCACTTAAGCGGGTAGAAAAGTACTATGATCAACTATGTGAGAATTGTTGTGGATGATTTACCTTTTCTTTAGGGGTTGCTATATTAATTCATTGTTTCTTTGGCTTTTGTTTGCCAGTCACTCGAGACTTGGTGAAGAACTAGTGGTGGAAATCATCGAACTATTGCTGGGGGATGTTCCAGCCATGGAGCTGATTACCGAGGGTACGGATATCGAAGGCAAGCCGCACAATTTCAAAGACATTGACATATCAACAGATTCTGATGTAAACTGATGTAAATATGTGAAGCTTTCAGTCACCTGAGGTTGTTTCCTTACTGAAATAGACCGCACTGAAATAGACCGTAAACAACTGTGTGTGGGCGATATGTATATATTAATATGTTTACTTACAACATGTCTACAATTAATTCACGTGTTCACAAGTATTGACTACGTAGGCCAATGCATGTTCAGAGTTTGGGGTTTTTGTTGTAATTAGTATGGCGTTATAGACATTTTTTTTTTTTAACCTGGTGATAGGTCCATTCCATTAATGCCCCATGACATCATGAGACTAACTAACCGTCCCCTGCACTGGCTCGTGTGAAGCGCCCAGGCAGAGCGTGCGATGTGAAATGAACAAATTTGACGATATGATGCATCTTGGATGGTGAAATGTGTGAAATGTGCCAGATTTTATCCATAAAAGACTTGGGATGGAGGTATGAGCCAAGATTTTCTGAAGGCACCCAAGGCGCGCTTCCACGAAGACACCATTCTGATTGCTTCGAAATTGTTATAGCCTCCGGTAATCAAAGATGACTGGCTGGGAAATCCTCTAGAAATATAGATAGTATGAATGGGAAAATCATCCATAAATATCTATATTAATAAATGGTCAATTTTCCATTGCCACCTTTGATTACTGCAAGGATCCACTGGGTACCTCGCATCGCAACGCCACTATGATGGTGAATGTATGGGTTTCCTCGTAGATGCGAAAAAAAATACATGTATGTATATACTCTCTCTCTCTATATATATAAGTAAGACTGTTCATGTTATATTGGTGATGTTTGAGATAACTTTATAGGTGATATGATTGTAATCATGCAAATGCACACACTGATATTTACACATATATATATATATATTATATACATAAGTGCGTATGCATATGCACACAGAGCTATATACATACTAACATATATATATATACATACACGACAAATAGATAGATAGATAGACAGACAGACAGGCAGACAGGTAAACAGACAGACAGATACTGTAGATAGATAGATGGATAGATAGATAGATAGATCGATAGATAGAGAGAGAGAGAGATATAGTTAGAGAGATAGATGGATGGATAGATAGATAGATAGAAAGATAGATAGATAAAAATATAGATAAATTGAAGGATAGAGAGATAGAGAGATAAAGAGATAGATAGATCAGATGAGATGAGATTCGATTAGATTAGATGGATTAGATATCTTAGATAGATACACAAAACAGGTTAGATTGGATAGATGTAGATAGAACAGATATATTAGATATATTAGATAGACTAGATAGATTAGATAATTAGATAGATAGATCGATCGATAGATAGATTAGATTAGATAAGATTAGATAAGATAAGATCAGATTAGATAGATAGATAGATAGATGGATGGATGGATAGATGGATAGAGAGATAGATAAATTGATTGATTGATTGATAGATAGATAGATTGATAGATTGATATATATATATATATAGATAGATAGAGAGATAGAGAGATTGAGAGATAAACATATAGATAGATAGAGATAGAATAGACATAGAATAGATATAGAATAGATCTAGAAAAGATAAATGATATAGATTAGATACATTAGATAGATTAGATAGATTAGATACATTAGATAGATTAGATACATTCGATAGATTAGATAGATTAGATAAGATACATTAGATAGATTAGATAGGTTAGATAGGTTAGATAGATTAGATAGATTATATAGAGTAGATAGATCAGCTAGACTAGATAGATAAATTAGATAAATTAGATAGATAAGATGTATAGATAGGATAGGATATGATGGGATGGGATTGGATGGGATTGGATTAGATTAGATAGATAGATACGTAGATAGATGTATTTATAGATATTTCTAGATGTATTTATAGATATATGACTCGGTAGGTAGATGCACACATACACCTGTCACCTGACACATCGCATTCTCTCAGGAGTTGTTTGTCCGCCAAAAATCATCGCTTCGGGCAGCTCATTGCGGTGGACACGGACCGAGATCACTGCGCCACATTTGGGTTAGACAATGAAGCGGACGAAAACACACACACACACACACAGATGCATAGTTGTATGACACACACGCACATATGTAATTATATATATATATACAACACTGTTGATTTACATATTTGTCAGCTTCAATTTGATAAGAATATACATAATAACCATGTACATATGTCCATATGCACAACTAGGGATGTAGTGCCGGGATATCTCCACGGGAGAATTTGCCAGGAAAAGATTAAACACCAGTCCCAGGAACCTACAAACGTCTGAAAGTATGCGTTATAGTTGGCCACCACGACGACGACACAGACTTTGATAAGGATATTTAGAAACCAACATGCATTGGTTTGCAGGGTATTCAATATTTCCCAATTGAGCAACCATTATCTCGCCGTATTGTAAACAATTAATCTAGCTGTGGATGTACTACATTTATATATATATACATGTATAGACATATATATATATATAAACATCTATAATGTGTACATATATATATTTATATTATAGATATAATTATTTACTGTATATACCGGGTGCCCTTCCCTGTTACCGCTGAAGAAACGGCAGGATTTCAACCTTTTTACCCGCGCTTGGTGCGTGGCCGAGATTCACCGCGCACAGCTGATGGGCATGCCCCAACGGATGAGTTGGCTGACCTTAAACGGTTAAGGAAGGAGAACAGCTGATGCTATGGGATGAATATGGTAAATAATCATTGTTTTGTGATAACTCCTATGATGATGGACAATCCTATGATGATGCTATTGAAGGAGAACAAAAATAATTGTTTTACCATAATCATCCAATGATTTTTACCATATTTTTACCATAATCATCCAATGAACATGTTCAAATCATCTCATCATTTTTCCATAATCATCCCATGATTTTCTGAGAGTACAATGGCTGGCCCATTTGTGAAAATCATCCCATTTCATGGGAAGATTATGGTAAATTATGAATGGAACCTATTGGATGATTGTGGGATGATTGTGATGATGATGAAATGATGGGGAAAAAAGGGGTACCCTCTGGTAAACTAACATATCTATGGAAAATCATCATCTTTAATAGGTGAATCCACTATAAATGGCAATTTTGAATAGCTACGTTAAATTACCAGAGGGTATGAATTGAAACTTAGAATTATCGAATCATTGATTATTGCGGGAAAATTGTGAGATAAACTTTGGAATTGTGGGATCATTGTAGAAAAGCTTTGGGAAGACTGTGAGGTCATTAACTACGGATGAAGAGACAATTGTGGAGTAACTATGGGAGTATTGGAAGATAATTAAATTAAGTTAAGACCAACAATAAAAGGGGTATGTATAAGCATGTAAATGGGACGTAAACCATGAAAATTGGTGAATTGATGAGGGGCTATATTTATGACAATTTATGACTTGATGGTGGTATGATAGGAATGCGGTCGGCGGTCATCCAATTAGAACGCCATCCCCAACAAGAGTTGGTTATTGGGTATACAGATGCATACCCCCAATTGGGATGATGTGTAAGCCTTCCAAATGGCCAAATGCTTCGTTTCCGGGGATCATCCCAGTGTCGCCAGCGGATATACCACATCAATATCTACTAGTGGTGAAATTTATTACTAAAAGCACATATGGAACGAACCATGTAGCCAAGTTGCAGTTTATCATATCGTACCCAAGCTGTGTATGATTAGATTTATCACAAGCCAAGCGTGCAATATCAAGAGACCACTGTGTAAGTCAATGGTGACAGGGCATGAAAGTGGGGCAATGAAAGGATAGGTATTTCTGGATATCCCAGAATGATACATATAATATAATATACATATATGTATATACATATGCATGCTTTATATGTTCGCATTCCCTACTTGAGGGCTTAAAAAAAGGAAAATCATTCCATATGTTTGCATATAATATAACATAATATAATATAATGTAATATAATATTACCCACAAACGATAAGTTTTGTTTCTTCAATCCATCATCAAAGATTGTCAAAGCATTCAAGCATTCTGGACATGAGCCACTGCCACACGTCCCAATGGGATGAACATGACAAAATCCCTCCAATCATCCCAGTTCCGGACTGGGAATGTTGCGTCAAAAAGCCTCAAACTTGGGGATGGTGACCATTATGAAGAAATTGAATCATGTTCAATATATCATCAGTATATAATATCAGTATATATTATCAGTATATATATATATAACTATAGTATATAACTATCAGTAACAGTATATATATATATATATTATATAATCATTTATAAGCATTTTGTTTTCATATATTATCAGTACATATATATATAACTATATCAATCTAAGTGAAGCATCCAGGCCAGGGGCCGACTTCCAACCTAGGTATTTACTCCGAAGCAAATTTGAAGGAGCACGAAACTTGGTTGAGACTGGCCGCCGGGTCTTTGAGATATTGATGGTTTACCATTCTGTTAGCGACGGCGATATGAATATGGGCTGATGGTTTGATAAAAACCACGAAACATGTGGTAGAATATGATGAAAACCATAGGCACATATAATATATACACTGATTTACTAGTACTACTACCATGAAATCCTATTGCTAAGCATTGCCAACGGGTTGATTGTTGTTTCCATCCCAAACGGTTGGATTCAGAGTTGTGTTTCTTCAGTTCCGCTCCAGTGAATGTTGGAGTGGTGGGGAAATATCGATCGCATGCGTTTGCCCATTCGACGCTTCCTGAATTTCTACAGCAAATCAAATCCCAAGAGAGAATGTGGCAAGGGTCTCTCAATTTCACCGGATTGATTTGAAGGATTTGAAGAAACTCAGGGAGACATACGCTTGGTGTTTGATCGGTTGCCAATCATAGTTGAGGTCTTTGGTTCTTCGTGGTAATTTTCCCTCCATTTCGCGACCATTGCAACACAACAATATATATATATTGAATTCTTGGGAAATCTTGCTGAAGTCCCTTCGATTTCAACGTAAAAACCTCTGGTTTCCTCTAAATTCGCAGCCTCTTCCGAAGCCAACGGCCACCTAAGGAAGGATGGCTGCAACACTTGAAGGTGCCGCCCTCCAGTCATGAAACACCGCGAACATCTGCTAGAAATCATCTACAAATAGGGTTTTCCATGGGGGCTACCCCAATAGCTGGATTGTTTATTTCATGGAAAATCCGATTAACATGGATGATTTAGGGGACCTCTATCTTGGGACACCTACACATGTTTTTTTTTTCACTTTGTCATCGTGCTGTTGGCTTTTGGGACGGTTGCCCTGATGGAAACACATTGGTGAAATCCCCAGAAAATCCGGTGCCGTTGCCCGGCCTGGTAAACTAACGTCGACACTTTGCGAACTGGAACATGGCCATTGACATAGTTGATTTACCCATTAAATGCCATTAATGATTGTGATTTTCCATACTTCTGTTAGTTTACCAGGGGGTACCATGATTGCCAAAAAACCTCAAGAAAGGGAAACTCAAACAGCGTAACCGCGAGATGATGAAATGGGTATTGTTCCACACAGAAACGTTCAGAACGGATGCTATTGAATCCATGTTCCTGGTGAATGTTTTCAAACACGTCGTTTCCTCCCAAAATGGCCTTGTGATCTGGGTACCCCCAATTGGTACAACATAGAATACTGCAATAATGAATAATAGTAATGTGGGTAAAACAAGAATAAGCCATCCCCCAGTCATCATCATTTTTATAGGTGGTATGGTTGCAATTCCCAGTCATAGGCAGTTTATGAATTATTGTTTTACCCACATTATATATAATATATAAAATTATATATATATACATTTATGTGAGTGGGGGGTTCCTACCCCCACATCATCCATAGTGGCAATGATATTTGTAGCACGTAGCTGTCCCACGCTGCAGGTGGAGACGATGAGTGCGTCCAATCCGTCGGATACAGAACTGATCCTGTCGAAGATCGACGATAAGTGGCTGGGATCATTGGGAAGATGATGAGATGGGAAACTGATGAGAATATCAATATCTATTGGAATTCAACATATGGGCATATGTCAAACTAACGGGATATATCATGGGAGATATCAATTATCTAATGAGGTGAGAATATCAAGATACTTCAATGAAATGGGGTTAATAATGGATATATATATATATATAACGGGGATGTGGGATCGTGAAAAACTGTAATGGTGTAAGAATATGTGATACATTCACCCTTTGGTAATCAAACATGGCTAGCTGGGAATCCGCCATAAATGGATATATAATGGAAAAACATACCTATAAATGAATATTATATACCAACTTGGATTAGCAGAGAGCCAGAGGGTAACATTTTTGTTGAGGGGTTGCCATGTTACTAGACTATATATATATATATAGCCGAAAAAAAGTCCAGCTACAATGACAGTACCATAAATATAATTCACTCTATATCAACATCTATGATATCACCATAAATCATGGTAAGTTATTATAGGGAAGAATCCTAAAAGTTGGTTTTCTTACAGACTGACTGATATTTGTTGGTTTTGTCCAGATCCATTGAGGCATAGATGTGCAATCCATCATTTAGTTCCATGATTGTCGCATAAACCTCCATTGAGTTCGGGGATTTTGCAGGTAGCCACGTTTGATGACACCGAAGGGTGAATGCAACTACAAAAATGCAATGTGTTTTTTGGAAGTAAACAGACATGGATGATGCTGGATGCTGGAACTCTGAAACGTTATGTAAGGTTATGCAAGTTGGCACCCCAGTATTGCGATAAGAGCTTTGGTCCATTGGTAGCAGTGACAGTACCTCTCAGAATCTCAGCTAAATTTAAATACCATTGATATCCGTTGATATATATATATATACACATACACACACACTATATATATATATATATATTGATGCCACGGAAGCACATTGGACTTGCTGTAGATGTGACTTCACCCAGCCGTTTTACACTTTCCCTTCAGGCTTTCCTGAGAAAGGTGGAACAGCAATTCTGCTGCTCTAGGGTCATGCCTCATGGAACGTGAAGATCGTGAAGTAACAGTTTCAAGGTTTTACATCGTGCGGTATGTCTTATTACGGGTTTTACAGTAGAATATCGTGTGTAGAGTATGCTTTAAAATAGATGTTGTCACCCCCCAAGCCTGCAATGATAGATGGATATAGATGGTGAAAATACATTACCCTCTGGTAAACTGTTACATAACTATGGAACATCACCATTTTTTGTGTGAAATTCCACTATAAATGGCCATTTTCAATAGCTATTTTGACATAACCAGAGGGTAATAAACCCTATCAATCTGACTCAATCTGACTCCCTGGAACGATGGGTGATTTATCGGAATGGAATCATCCCCAAAAGCCGTTTCGGAGAACACTGGTTCTTAGTGGTAAAACCGTAATGTAGCAAAGCCAATGCCATAAACCATCCCCAACATCAGAAATGAGTGGTGTAAACTAGTGTAAACTTAGTTTTTTAGATATTAGAAGTATTACCCCTTCCTTAAAATTGGAGGATTTGGAGGTTCACTATTGGGTTTACCATGGCTTTACCACATTAAACATCATTAAACCATATGGTTTTTGTTTGATCAACTTTCGATTTCCAGCCTATGAAAACGGGAAAAAAAAAACATGTCGAGTCAGGCAGCAGTTCAACGAGGAGCTCCGGTCCTTGATCTTCGATGAAAATGGTTCCTTGGCCATGTGAGGGAACCATAAACATAGATATCCACTAGCCATTTTACCCTCTGGTTATGTCAAAATAGCTATTGAAAATGGCCATTTATAGTGGATTTTCCCATAAAAAATAGTGATTTTCCATAGCTACGTTAAATTACCAGAGGGTAAATAGCATGATAAATATCCACTAATATCTATTAAATTATTAAGTAATATTTTTTCTTTTTAAATAGATATTTAGTTGATAGATTAAGAGGGCATCGTCCGGTCATGTTTGAGATATATTTTACTGGTGTTTTAAACCATACAAAAGGGAAAATTGGTCTAGATGACACGCATAGTTTGGGTAAAGCAAATAGCTAGCTGGTGATTTCAACTACCCTCTGGTAATTAAACGTGGCAATGGGAAATCCCCTATAAATATATATAGCCTTTAATGAGAAATTCTTCCATAAATGATCATAAATGGCGGATTTTCCGTTGCCATGTTTGATAACCCCAGGGTATTTGTTATTTGTTACACATTGTTAAACCATATTTGCGATGATGATCCCCAATGCCTTTCGCATAATTTTTTTTGAACGCTGGACCCGGTGGAAGCCGCAGATTTTTGTCGGTGGAAACCACCAGCTGAATCTTACCGGCTCATGGAACATGGACACGACCTTCATGCGCTTCATGGTCCAGTCACTAATCATTTTAAAATTCAGTTGGTTAGTGATGTAAAGAATTGATAAGTTAGCGCCGACATCAACAGTACAATGCAAAATGCTCCATGGTTGGGCATGTTCTGGGTGATGTTCCCTTTCCCTATGGATCAAACCACCATTATTGGAATCAGAACGGCAGAACGGAACAATTGATCATACAGTTATTGCCCTTTACCAGTTATAAGTACTTATACCCCCATTTACAGAATGTATAAGCCATTTAATAAATGACCATAAGTGTATGAAATATGTTTGATTTCGTAGCCCTTTGGGCAAGTCCACGTCAACTTGTCGGGAGAAGATGAGAATGGACATTCAATATTGATTTTGTCATGGATTGTCATCTGGAGTTTCAATAGCAAATTCCAAACCTTCTTCAGCACATTTCAATTCATCTAATCATTGTATTGTCATCCCAATGGACATGGCATACCCTATCATCAACATTGGGATTCAATGGGATTTAATCAATGACAATTGAGATTTGAGGGGATTTCACCAACAAACATGGTGCTTTAACATGATTCAATCATCAAAACCCAGTGACTTGATGGATTGACCATGGTGTCTTGGGGCTGTCTGAACATGGCGGATTAACCAACCATTTCTGGCGATTTCAATAAGCACAATGATGATTCACCAGTGAAATGGAGTACCATTTCAATTTTCATACAAAGCCAGTTCAACCTGTTTGTATAGTGGTAATTACTCCATAATCTTCTATATGATTCTATTTATAGTGTATTATGAATTCTTGTTTTTTCAAATCCCTCTCATGTGGAAGCAATTTTGACCTTCATCGCCTTACGGGCGCTCTGGTCTTCTGGCAGTTTGAGCCCAGTTACGCAGCCCTCCCATTAAATCTCTATTTTCACTGCAGTGACATCCCATTCAAATCCACAAAAATAGCTATTTTCCCAGCTATTTTGGCGCCTTTGGCTCACCAAGGATTGATCCAAGCGTGCCATGCGGGCTTTGACAAGGTTGCGATGTTTCTTGGGAAAGAAATAGGAAGGATTGCAACTGTTGGTAGGTGGTTTATCCCTTTACAATACCTTTATACTTACCAACTGGTGCAGGAATTCTTCCATCCACAGTTTTTCGGGGTAACAATAGGTATTTGGTAACAATAGGGCCATTCATAATGATACAGCAGTAAACATGATACATAGGCATTGTAATGGTCCACAAAACTGATAGGTATTTCAATGTGTAGTTGGAATGAGCATTTATAATTCTGTCAATAGGTACATTTATACTGATTGTATATCAATAAAAATGACCCATAAGACCAGTCGTAGTTTTTTTGGGTTTGAGTGTTTATGAGAGAATGGTATGGCTATGGAAACCAGCAATTTCAGTTTAGCAGAAGGGTACCAGGGGCTTGTCCCATAGATGTATAATATACAATGTCACTTCTAATATATGTTGTTTTAATGAAAGAACATGTTGAAAGTATATAAGTAGATGTATTGATACATGCATAGAACAGACTCAGAAGTATTTATTTGTTTTGTCGCTCCAGCAATCAAAGGTGGCAACTGGAAATCCACGAACTAAATAAATGGAGTTGTTTTTTATTGGGAAAATCATCCAGCTCTAGATCTTGGATCGCCAGCTGGAGAGGTTTTGGTGCAGAAGTCTGGTAACGGTGGCTGGTTGATGACTCTTGAAATAGCACTTTATTTGTTGATAACATGGTATAATGTGATGCCCTCCAGTTATGTTTTTTGGTTTATAACCACTATCTATGAATATATCTACCATAAACCATAGTTAGTGTAGCTCCAAGGATTCCAGCTCGGCTGCCCGTCCAAGAGATATATGGGGATTGATCGTAAACCATTGGATTTTGGCGCACCATTCTGTTCTGACAAGCACATATTGTTCTTTTTGATGACAAATGCATGGTTAGTTGTATGGGTCATGATATTCAGTTTCGACGAGTTCTCAAGGTTAGTGGCTATAGCTATTAGATTCTATTATACAGTAGAGTAGTAGTGTAAAAGAGAAAGGACAGTTAGAGAGAGAGAGAGAGAGAGAAAGCGAGTGGTATTATATATGTGGTATATTTCCCCATGGATGAAGAGAAAACCGGAGCCCAATGAACCAATGATGTTCGCCCATCGAGGCTGGGTGCTATTGCTCAACGAGGAGCAACTCGCGTGGTGCGACACCGATCGCAGCCGCAACCAACGCCTCGGGATGAGCGGAGCGAGCCCAGTCGGAATGGTGGCAGCTAGATCCGCTCGGTGACACCCGGGCCGATGGATCTTAGGCCCAAAAAGTCAAGGAATTCACTTCCCCTGGGTTAGCAAGATGAGGATTTGAACGAAGTTTTTTTTGTGTTTCAATGTGCTTCTGATGTACCAGTATATGCCGGTACAATCATTATCATTATAATTATAAATAACGAAATGTTGATGGCCTACGGAAATTTATGGGAATTCGATTTGTATGGATCACACTGTTGGATATGGCCATGTTTGACTTGCATGTTGTAAATATTCATCTAGTTCATCAAGCACACACACACACATATATATATACACACAGGTTCATGAGTGTGCGTACAAAATACAACCCCCCTCAACTAACACTAACTGTTCACTAACTAACATAGACCCCGCCAAACAGATCCAAGTAGGTTGTTTGGAAGATTACTCTCCTCTATATAAACATTGGCGATTCTCAGGGTTTATGTTAGTTGGGCGAATGGTACATCATGTTCATCACATTTTATGATATATATATATATATAATATAGTTAAAATCACCTCCTGTGTCACTCCTTTGTGTATTTTGAGCCTTGCTGATCCGACTTTGGGATGTGGGACGCCCCATCCTACCTGTGGGATGCAGTTCTTGTAAACAAGGGCGGCATATCAACACATTCAAACTCTGCCATAACCCTGCCATATTTGGGGGCCCATTTCAGGGGCAAAAGAAAGCTAGAGTCTAGAGCTATGTGAATTCCATGACTCCCAGAAATGATTCTTGGAAAAATCTGCAGGAAATCCCTATATTTCAGAGTAAAAAGGCAATTTTCCTGCCCATTTTCTGTTGAACCAATCCATTGGCGTGATTGGAAGGGATGTCCCTATACTCCCGGTTCCATGCTTCTGCGGCATGCGGAGCACATACAGCGATGCTGTTTCCGGTGCTTCCGTGATATTTTTTCAACGACGGTTGCCAAGGATCATTAAATCAGTTGGCAAGTAGAAAGAGGTGAAAACAATTTGTATAGTGCAGTTTGATTCAGTTGGTATGTCATGGTATGTCATTCTGAAGGTTTCGGAAGATGTAAAAAAAGGAAGGACAACTTCAGCACCGATGAATTTGACCTTTGTTCGCTTCGAAGAGGATGTTTTTTGGAGGACAGTATAGATGGAACGTGCCACAAGTGCCCTTCTTATTTCCGCGTGTCTCGGCACTACAACAAAGCTGTCATGAAGATTCGCGGAAGATTTGAACAGTCCATGAGTCCATGAGTCCATGAGTGCACGAGAATCTGTCCCAGATGCTCCATGTTTGGTATCGTTTGGCACTGTGCGTTTTGTTTTTTATTTCCAATAATTATAGGGATTATGGTCGAAGGAAGTTTAGAAGTCAAACTTCCGACAATATGGACAGATGACAAGCAGAGACGGGAAGAGTCAGAGAGAAGAGAAAAGTAGAAGAGAGATGAGACAAGTCAGAGAAGAGAAAAAGTCAGAAGAAAGAAGCTCAGATGCGCAAAAAGGTAGGAAAGTCGCGAAACACTGTGTTTTTCCAATGATTTGTGGCTCCCGAGGGTCGAAAAGTAGGCTCGCCAGATGAGAGATGAAAAAGTGCACGCCATTGTGGCGCGAAGCACATTTCGAAGTCAAAATGTACAAAACACACCATTCTCGGACCACTTTTGGAAGTTGAGATGTTGAAAAAGTGCACGCCGTTGTGGCGCGAAGCACATTTCCAAGTCAAAATGTACAAAGCACACCATTCTCGGACCACTTTTGGAAGTTGAGATGTCGAAAAAGTGCGCGCTGTTGTGGCGCGAAGCACATTTTGAAGTCAAAATGTTGAAAACACTAGGGGTTCGGACCACTTTTCGAAAAGTTGAGATGTCGAAAAAGTGCACGCCGTTGTGGCGCGAAGCACATTTCGAAGTCAAAAGTGTAAAAAACTGAGGGTTTTGAGCCTTTTTTGATGTGAAGATGTCGAAAAAGTAGACACTGATTAACTTAACTAACTTGACTAACTTAACTAATTTCACTAACTTAACTACCCTAACTTCGACGACAACAGCAACAGCAACAACAACAACAACAACAACCACAACCACAACAACAACTACAACTACAACTACAACTACAACAACTACAACAACTACAATGTTGAAGGGGTTCGGACCACTTTTGGACGTTCAGATGTCGTTTCGTGTGGCAGGCGCAGGGGATTGTGCACCTTGGCAAAAGTGAGCAAAACGTGAGGTTTTTGGAGTCCAAAAACCATGGCAAGTGTGGGGCATTGGCAGAGGATCTGCAAAGATGCCTTTTCCGTGGCAGGCGCAGTACAAGAGACATTTTCACCAGAGCTGTTTGGAGGTCCGGGCGCTGATTTCCTGAGAGGGATTGCATTTTGGAGCATCAGATCTTCAGGTTTGCTGAGATGATTTTGCATGACAGGTGCAGCACTTCGTATGACCTGGCATCACTTTTTCGTGGCAGGCGCAGTAGTTTAGACAGCTGGAAAAATCCCAAAACACATTGGTACGAGGCCGTCAGCTCTGCACTCAACTTTCCACTTTTGAAGGAAGTCTCGCAGAATTGCTGCGTTTTTGATGTTGTCAAGTTCAAAACCTGAGCACGTCTCGCAGAATAGCTTCGTTTTCAAGCTTGCAGATAGACAGGTAGATAGACAGACAGACAGACAGAGAGAGAGATAGATAGATGGATGGATGGATGGATAGATAGATAGATAGACAGACAGATAGACACATGAGATAGATAGATGGATGGATGGATGGATGGATAGATAGATAGATAAGTAGATAGCTAGATAGCTAGATAGCTAGATAGATGGATGGATGGATAGATAGATAGAGAGAGATAGAAAGATAGATAGATAGGTAGATAGATCGATAGATAGATAGATAGATAGAAATATAATCAGATTAGATTAGATTAGATAGGTAGATAGAGAGATAGAGAGATAGAGGGAGAGAGAGAGAGACAGAGAGAGAGACAGAGAGAGACAGAGAGAGAGAGAGAGATAGATAGATAGATTAGATTACATTACATTAGATTAGATTAGATAGATAGATAGATTAGATTAGAGAGAGAGAGAGAGATAGATAGATAGCTAGATTAGATTAGATTAGATTAGACTAGATTAGATTAGATTAGATTAGTTTAGATAGGTAGATAGATAGATAGAGAGAGAGATTAGATAGACAGATAGATAGATAGATAGATTAGATTAGAATAGATTAGATTAGATTAGATAGATAGATAGATACATAGATACATAGATACATAGATAGATCGATTGATAGATAGATAGGTAGATAGAGAGATAGATAGATAGAGAGAGAGAGAGAGAGACAGAGAGAGAGAGAGAGAGATAGATAGGTAGGTAGGTAGGTAGGTAGATAATCAGAGAAAGAGAGACAAAGAGAGAGAAAGAGAGAGAAAGAGAGAGAACGAGAGAGAAAGAGAGGAGACCTCAACCACCTTTCGGTCCATCAGTGGATTCGCTCTGCCACTATTGATTCACAACAACCAACCTCTCCTATAGGTTTTCTATTTTTGAAACTTCCGCCGCTGCCTTGTGCGGTACTACTGGTAGATATATGAATCTTCAGGAATCTTTCGTGCATACTGCATACTGTATAATATGATCCAATTTCATATTTATATATCTATTTCATACATGATCTATTATTGAAAGATCATATTTTGCTATATATACATTGGATTTCATTGGATCATATTTTTATATCCAGAATATATCTTCCCTACAATATTGTATAATTAATCCATTTGGGGGCTATAGAGCAACTGGGTCATACCAAACAGAGAGCGTCCCTGTGCAGGGATTCTGCGGCTTTCGCCAAGGTTGCCAATCATTGAATTGGCTGGCCTCCGGTTACATAGCGTCTAGTTATCTAATATTATCTTTATATATATAATATACACATATATATATACACCTATATGTATCATATTTTATGTGGCTTCATTTGTCTAGGTGCATCACAATATTGGTTGTTTGATGATGGGTAGAAGTTGTATCTCCACATCATGATTTGGCTGGTCGTCCACACGTTTGGGTGATCTCCATCCCGACGACGGGTTTGCACATTTTTTTCTATCACATATGAGCAGTGGCTGCCAGACCCCTGTTGGTTGATGATTATCTAGATATTTATATATATACAGTATACTGATATATACTATGTTTACTATATATGAAGGTTATATGAAAATTATGTGTACTACCTGATATATACTATATTTATAGGGCATTATCACAATACATCAGGGGAAATCCTTTGAACCAATCAGTTTTTTAATAGGGCCGATAGAGGGTGTTGAACACTGCTCATATATTCCCGGTTATTTCATTGCAAATTCCCATTGGTTTCCAAAGTGTTTTTTTTGAGTTAACGGATTGAGAATTGTAAAATATATTTGATATAATTGCATATATATATATCTCTCTCTCTATTTGTTTTTTTTATTTATTTGATATCATTGGATGATGATACTGCCAGAGCTGTTACTTCATCATCGTCATTGGCATCATCAAGGTTATCATCATCGCTATCAGTTCATGGCTTCACCACATGGGGCCGGCCTTGGCGAGTCGCTGGCGAGAAATGCCGAGTGATGTGTGTGGCCTCAGACATGCCATGACGTTCTGCAGAGATCCGGAAAGGAATAAACTGCTAATATACATGGTTAATATATGTTAATATATGGTTAATATATGGTAAATATGGTTAATAATGGGTGATCATGGGTTTCCATAGTCATGGGGGTACCCCAATAGCTGGATGATTTTTAATGGAAAATCCATCTATAAATGGATGATTTGGATGTACCCCTATTTTAGGAAACCTCCATCGATATCCAAAAATCCTTACCAAAATGGGAATGACTTTGAACATTGAATCTTCTATTGTTTGGATGATGAGGACTAAGATGGATATTCATCTTTGAAAGGATCATGTTTGAAAGGATCTATTCATGTCTATGCAGCTGGAACCAAGTCATCTTTATGAACATCCAAATTTTGAAAATTCCATATTTACCTGCTTCAGGGTGATGATTTAGAAGATGATGGATGGTCTATTCCAATAAAAGGACA